GGTTCCCAACCGTTCCCAGAAATCAAATTAAATTGTTTTGCTGACGGGAAAACCCACGTGGACTATTAGCGTGACCGCTAATATTGGCCCAAGGTCCAATCAGCTGATTGTTGGGGCCAAACATGGATTTGCCCGACTAGACCATACGACCGGGAAGCTCTCCTACATCCATGATATCCATAAGCTATGGGGAGAGGATGGGGGCAAAGCAGAGAGGTAAGCATAAGCCCTGAACAGAGGACGGAGAAAAAGACCACCCCCGAAAACATCACCTAACAGCAACGCCAAAATTGTTGTCCAATGTAGGATGCGTTTCAATGACGGCGCAGTCGACAGCCACGGCCGATTCTGGGCCGGTGCGATGAATGACCCCAAGATCAAGAAGCCAGAAGCAGAAGGGGTTCTATTTAGACTGGACCCAGACCAGAGTGTGCACCACATGCTGGCACCGGTGACGATTCCCAACGGAATCGGATGGAATTTAACCGACGACGTGATGTACCTGACTGATTCGCCGACGGGTAAGATTTTCGCCTTCGACTTCGATGCGTCCAGCGGCGCAATCAGCAATCGCCGAGTGCACTTTGATATCGGGAATGCACTAGAGCCGGATGGCTTCGCTATTGATGTCGAGGGCTGCATCTGGAGCGCTGTCTACGGCGGCGGAAAGGTACTGCGCATTTCCCCGGCCGGGAAGATTATCGGTCAGATCGACCTCCCGACGCGCAACGTGACCTGTCCAGCCTTTGTTGGCACCGAGTTGTTTATCACCACTGCCAAGGATGACCGTGACGATGATCAGCTCCCACAGTCGGTTCGGTATGGAGGCCGAGTCTACCGGGTTGATGTTGGGGTCCGCGGCGTGCCTAAGAATGAGTTTCGGTTTCAGTAGGGTCTGATGCGATTTGTGTTGTACCGTGTGCATCAGACATTTGTGGATACATGGGACATGGTACAAAGTACATAGCACAAATAAACTGCCGGGACGGAGGACATGCTTAATTCGATTCTAGGGCTATTCTTATTCTACTTGGTACTTTGGCCGCATCCACTGCAGCGTATATGTGCATACTTCGTACCGCAGAAGGATCAATGGTGCATCACTAGTACTTTGCATTTGCCGTGTCAAAACTAGGGCAAGGGGCCGGTTAGTCAGACATTGATAAAAAAATTTTTTTTTTAAAGTACCCAAAGACGCAATTGACAAATCCGGATCTGCAGCCCCAAAGCTGAGGGTGGATCGATGATCAACAAACGGGCGAGCACGCCGGTCCGCGCTGTCATTGTCCAGAAACCTGGGTCTGGGTAGCTTTCCACTGCAGCCCACGCAAGGGACCCAAAAATCAGGGTTACAGATCGAATCAGCTTCCTCATTTCGATCTCACATCATGTCGACCACATACTCCATGCGATTGTGCAGCGTAGGATTTGGCTCGATTCCCCTGGTTTCGGTACAATTTCGAACGAGGCTGGATGTCGGTCGAGGCTGGATAACGCGTGGGCACCAGCCACCGCTCTTTTTTTTTCGGCGGGTCCACTCTGCAGGGCGCAGGCACGGAGTGTTGGGTGTGCGTAGGATTTCCATGTGTGTTGATGGGTTTGTACTGGGTTTGTGCTGCTTTACCACGGACTATGGCGTGCGGGCTCATTCGAAGGGGAAGATCTGCGGTACATGTCATCGGGAGATGTTCCAGCGTTCTCACTTAGACAAAGCTATTCTTTTGCTTTTTCGAAGAAAAGGCGGTTGCAGCGGACACGAGATAATCGACGATCCATGCGGTGAACAAGCTGAAGCAGATCATGAAAGGGGGGCAGGATCCACTTCGACGAGAGTACACACTTGGAAATTGAAAAAGAAGTTAAAAGGGCATCCAGTTATGGATCAATCCATTCTACCGGATCTCTTTTTAACTTCTCCATTTCTGCACAATTCAAATAGTCTGATGACACGCATCCCGTAGAGGTCTCGGGAATTGGAAGACTCAATGGTCTGGGAACGGTGGTTTGAGAGTGTAAGCCACCAGTTGACAGAGAAAACCGCCCTACTTCGTCCTCCATCCGGAGTAAGGAGTCAGAAGAGAAACATGGGAACCCGCTTCCAAATTCTCCTGGCAACTTTTTGAACCCTGTTCAATTTAACCAGTCAAATGCAATGGATCTATCAGACCGTAGGTGTCTCTCGGTGGTGTCCATTCAATTGCTCCCAAAAAAAAAGGCCAAAAAAGGACGAGATCGAAAAAGAAAAAAAAAACGAAATCGGATCCTCCAAAACACTGACAGCTCTTCAAACTCTGTCGGAAGTGACCTTGGTGTGCATGACAACACATCCAAAGAAGATCTATCGCAAATTGACATGCGCCTACTTACCCACTTGCGGAGCGTAGTGCATTCAGATCCGAATCCGCGGAGATCATGGAACACTTCCGGCGACAATGGCTTCATGTCTGATCGATAAATCCTACGATGAAGAGGCGCTTCAGCTACGCCAGAGCTCGCCTGTCTTATGCAATCGCCAATCTATTTTTCCACGGAGAACAAGCATATCCACTTTAGTGCCATTCGGGACCCTAAATCGATCTCCGCTGCTTATTTGAGAATCGCCACACGGATTCTTTATCCCGTGATCTCGAACTGGCTTGAAAGACCCCGGAAACAAAGCTATCCACCGGGGGTTCTCAGGCTCACCTTATGAGACTAAGGGACCGGATCCCTTTCCGCCTGATCCGATCGTGGAGCAAAGAGAGAAAAGTGTCACCTGATGTATTTAAATGACATCATCTTCGTAGAGTTGAAACAAAGTCAAGTCGATTCGGCTCCGTGTTCTCTGCGTTATGTTCAATGACGTCAAAAGACATCTCATGTTCTCTCTATATCTATATAATTCTACTGTTTCCTCGTCACATCTGGTAGAGCTTACCTCTCCTGATTTCTTAGGTCATTGTTTCCAGGTACCCCTAACGGTCAACGGGAACGGCCCCTTTTTGCCGGGACACGGGGAAGATGTGGTGCTGCACAACATATGTGCGTATCGTTTCAATAAACTTCGACACGGAGAGAACTGGTTTCCTTGTTTCCTTTCCTGTCGGCCTTTGGTGCTTTGGCTGCCTTTTTTTTGGTTTCAATTGACGAAATTTGGCTACCCCCCTTTTAGATCAAGCTTGATTTTGAGCACAACCTGAATAGGAGTATGGAGTTTGGTCCCAGCACCAAACTCCCGGAAATTGATAGGACCAGGCTTACTAGGCAACTAGGGATTGCCTCCCTTCACTACACCCGAGTGGGTATAGATCCAATAGTGGGAAAATGGAGTCACTCGGCACTCTTTCATTTCACTTTTCACTTTTCACATTTGATATGCGTCATCTCTTTTAGAGGGAACTTTCTAGATTTCCACCTTGTCATACCATCGTTCACAAACCACCTCCTACGCCAAAGCCCTAAACCTTCCGAACTTGGCTCTACGAGAAAGAAAACAACCTCCCCCCCCCCTCCCCCGCCTAGATCAATAGTTATCAGTAAGCGGCAAAAAGGGATGTCGAAAAAACACTGAAAAAAAAAAAAAGAAAACCTAGTCTCCACCCGTCCCTGTCCATGACCATGGTGACGGCGCACACTTGCAGCTCCCGATGATTCGTGCTGTGCATGACGATCACTTTCCCCGGGTACTTCTGTTGTAGGTGATTACCGTAGATTATAGGACTCTAGAGCTGGATTTGGTCATTGCCTACTCCATCCTTAGGTATAACAAGGGGGTGATATCACTCCGGTACTGACACAGTGGACACAGTCGATATATTCGATATCGATATCTATTTCGGTGGTTTCTTTTCTTTTCTTTTCTTTTTTTTTTTTTTCATCGTTTCTCGAATTCCTCATTCGAAATTAAGATCTAAAATCCCCCCCCCCCCCAATTAAAAAATGAGAAACTCCAAATGTCAAACCAAAAATCAAAGAAAAGTAAAAAAATTAAAAAATTAAAAAATTAAAAAAAAAATAATCCAAAAAAATTTTAAAAAAAAAATTAACCCAAACAATTCAAGAAGCCCAATACTCCGGGGGGTTAGACTTAGACTCAGGTGTCTCCATAGGAGATGCCCAACTTTCCGCCAGACTGGGTCGGACAGAGAGACAACTAAGTTGTCTTGGAGCCATCCAGACCAGGTGATGGATCATTCTCTCACCGCTGCTAATTACAACGGCTCTCTTCTTAAGTGTGCCCCCATTTTCCAATTTCTTAACTTTGTCACTGTGATCTCTTTTTCTAGCTTTTTTTCCCCCAAGGGCCTCGAATATTTTCTGCCCCATCTTTCTTAGCCTACCTAGCTTTTTCTAGCTTCTTTAGCTTCCTTATATTGATCACTTGTCGATTCTCAATCGAGAGAATCGCGTTTCTTATTCTATATATCCCGATCATCCTCTTCATCGTGGCTGCCTTAGGAATCAGTGTGTTGAACGCACCATATTCGGGCTCACATTCACCGAATCTGTCACTCTATTCAGATAGGTATCCATCGCCTTCACCCTCCCTCTCTCATACTCCTCGACAACCTAGCGACGAGGAGAGAGGGGGGTTTCGGTCATGCCATACCTCTCGTCCCGTCCTGGGAGATTTGGTCTCTATGTCGCAGGATTCTCCACGTGCTGGTTCATTGTCGAGAGATGTGGCTCAATCAGATGACCGTGCGAGTGACAACGACCGTGCATTCATAAGCAGTCGAAATCCTGTCCGTCGGCCATCTCAACGACCCCGACCCCAGTCATGGCATCCCTATGGACCTGTGGAACCACCATTGGAAGCCATCTCATCGCGTCCCACTGGGGTTCATGCCATCTTGAATCATCCAAAGGCAACGGCTGATCTAGCTGCCCTCAGTCGTGAGCCACTGAGCCTACTGGGTCCATCGTCCTCCCCCCGCCCCCAAGGGACTTCGCCTACAATCCGCTCAGGATATGCTTTGTCGTCGCAGCCACTATCTCCAAGGTCTCATTCACGGCCTTCGATGAATCCAGTATCGCCTTCGGCACGGTTTGTGGGCGGCGGCGGCAGGGCCTCCGGTCAGTCAAGTGTCGCACAGTCACCGCTAGTTCCTCACGAACCGTTGATGGGCCCACGTCTGCCCGCCACTAGTTCGCCTCTGCCAATCGAGACGGGCCTACGCTCAATAGCACCTCTCACTGGTTCTCAGCCTCCTACGCTGACCTCGCTGCATTCTACAACGAGTCTGCATTCCAGGAGAACTAGTGCCGGCCCTGGACCTCTCACCCACCCGAAATCCCAAGAAACGAGTCCTAGCACGTCTCATTCAGCTTTCAGTTCCTATGGCCGTGCATCTCCAGCAGTGCAGAATGTCTCCCTCGCTCAAAGCACCCCATCATATCCTACGGCGCCTCTATATCTGACCATGGACCCTCTGGCCCGACCCATCCCCGCAATGAAGGACCCGAGACACCAACCCGAAGTTCCCACACGAGCTGGAACACCACAGGGCACGCCCCTCCCAGTGGGAATGATACCATGCGTACTAGACATGCGATCCGGCTCTTCCAGCCAAGCGGAAAAGCGGAAAGCCAACAGCGACGCCTCACGACGGTTCCGCAACCGCAAGCGCAACGAGATGCAACTCGAGCAGCGGCTCGCCGCGCAGCAGGACGAGATTCAGCGCAATGTGGAAACGGTCCGTCGCCAGAGCGAAGAGATCCTCTCCCTCGTCCAACAACGAGACCACTACCGCTCCGAACGCGACTATTACCGGGACCAGCTCGGCCGCACAATGTCCCTGAGCACCGTACCCCCCAGACCGGCTTCTCCACACTCCACCCAACCTGCCCTTCTTCCTACATCCGAACTGGGCACCGCGACATCTTGGTCGGGCGCCGATGCGGCCCGATCCGCTTCAGGCACACAGCCAACCTCAGCGGGTGGGCCTCCACAGGGAAGAACGCTCGACTCGGTCCAGTCCCAACCTCCTTGGCCTGCAAGTCCGCCTTATTCCTCAACCCCTATTGCGCCTGCCCGACGGGCGGTTGCTGGCCCACCTCCCGGGTCGCCGTCGGTCGCTGGGGTTCCGTTGCCTCCCCTGCAGGGATCGTGGTCACGTCCTTAATCCGAGGTTTCCGACTGCCAACTCAACCGGAAACTGGTGTTTCGTTCTCTCTTGTCATTTCCTCCCCTTTCCTAGCACTCTTAATCCATCCCTTTCTCTCTCTTGTGTGGGCTACTGCTACCGGGAGAGACGAACGAGCGGGCCCTGGCCTGGCCGCTCGCAGGTGGTCTATACTCCTTTAGTGATGTGGCCTACTCCCCAAGTGCCTCTTCCTTTAGGCTGGCTGTGTATCACTATCTGCATTTCTTCCTGTTCTTATTCTTATCCCTAGACTTGTCGGGTCCTGCAAAAGTAAAATCTACGCCTTCCTTCTCGCTGTCAGTGTATTCCCCTGTCTTCGTCTTCCCACACTGTGTCTCCGTGGGGGGGGGGGGGGGTTTTGGTTTTTTTTTTTTTCTTCGCTTTTCAAATGTATGGATTGCACAGCGGTGATACCACTATTGGCGATGTTTTGAATCATCATTCGCATCTTTAAATGGGAAGAAATATTTGAAACGCTGGAAGTTCAAGGCCCCGATCTGAAAGTTTGCACCAACGCACTTGCTGTCTCAACACCTCAAGATCATCTCGTAACTAAATTGCCGAAGCTGTCGGGACATTCATTAAAAAGACTCGGATCTTCTTAAGTCTCAAAAAGCTTAGCCTGCAATGGAACTTTGGAGTTACACAGCACTTGGAAGTGATTGGTCGACCCGGGACAGACCCAGACTGTGATGCGGTGGCACAGGGTAGTTCAAATGACATCATAATCCTCCCCCCCCCCCCCACAGGAGCTCCCCTGCTACGACAGCCTGGGTGAGAACTACGCTAAGGTATGCACGCCACTGGTAATAAATAAGGGATTCTTTTTTCAACTACAACAAATTGAGTATAGAAGAAGCGACTGCATACTACTTATGGATGACTAATGACGACTTGTATTGGTATTACTAGCCAAAAAAAAAAGCAAGTATGTGCATCTGCGGGGGCGTCGTCCTCGGCCGAGCTGTCGTGGCAGGGGTGCAGTCCTTCGTGATCTCCGGCTTAACACCGAGAGCCTCACGGTGATAGAGGGTTTATATCCGATACCCGACATGGAGGTTCAGATCTCATTGAGTAGGCACAACGATATAAGTAGTCGATGATACCCATGGTGAAGTGGTAGACATGTGTCTTGGTGAGGACGACTACCGTCCCATAGACCGACCAAGCCACGACGACAACATGTCGCAACCCACCATCATTCTCATCACAGGCAGGCTATCAACTAGAACGCCAAGTCCCAGAAACTAACCTTATCCAGGTGCGAATTCAGGAGTCGGCTATGCAACCGCCCAAATCCTAGCCTCACACCCCAACCACCATGTTGTTATGGCCTGTCGGAACCTCAAAAAGGGTGAACAAGCCCTATTCGAACTCCAAAGCAAAAATCTCAAGGGAACCCTCTCCCTCCTCCAGCTAGACGTCGAAGACGACACATCCATAACCCAAGCAGTCTCCACCGTCGCCGACCAATTCAACCGACTCGACGTCCTAGTCAACAACGCCGCCTCTGCTGCACCTAACAGTAGCGGCCGCACTAAACTGAATCAGATCTTCTCAACGAACGTGATTGGTGCCACACTGGTCTCCGAGGCTTTTATTCCCCTCCTGCTCAAATCAGAATCCCCCTATCTGATCCACGTCTCCAGTGGTCTGGGCTCAATGCAACGGGCAACTGACCCCAGCAGCGAGATTTATGCTGCGCCTTGGGACGAATACCGTGCGAGCAAAGCAGCGCTGAATATGATCACTGCTCAGATGCATAAGCGACTGCAGAGTCGGGGTGTGCGGGTTTTCGCATTCTGTCCCGGTCTGGTGAGGTCGAATTTGAGGGGTGAGGAGGAGGCTGCGGTGAGTGCGCAGGGGAAAGCTGGGGATCCGTTGGAGTCTGGTAGAGGGATTTTAAGGATTGTGCTTGGGGAGAGGGATGGGGAGGCTGGTGGATTTATTAACAAGGATGGTCTGTTGCCCTGGTAGATAGGGTGCTTGAAAAAAATAGCCATCGGAATACACCGTCGCTTTGAAACTGTTCATGGTGCAAGATTGAAGTCGTTTCTGGGGGTACAGAGGAGGCAAGATTCAATTTGTCGAACAAACGTAGTTGGTTCCTGAAGTTCCGGTGGAAGACGGCCGTCCACTCCCTGCAATTTCCCAGCGGCCCAGAGTCCAGATGTGGATTTGAAGACAACGACGAACCTATCATCACCAACAAGATTCCCCCCGGTCTCGAACATGCGGGGCCCCGAGTTTCCCCGCGGATGCTACGGATCCTCGTATCCCGTTCACTGTAGGGGCAATCCTCCAACACATTACAACATACAACGTAGTCGGGCAAAGACACCAGAAACCCCCCCCCCCCCCGAAACCAAATAACTCAACGACCATCACAAGAGTGCATTAAGTGCAGACGATCAAAGCTTCAGTGCGAAACTGATCTCACGTGGTAGTCACATTCAACCAGGTTCTTCTCACTCTGTCACCAAGAATCAAGGTAAATCTTTCCCCTGAGCTTCGAGCGAGGAATTGCATATCGAGGTTACACCAGCGCTAGTCTATTTAGCAGAAAACGGCGATCGGATTATGTACCGATGGATCTGTCGCCTTCTCTTCGCGGTCTTCTGACGGCCTTCTCTAATGCTGAGGATGTAGATCGGTTGGAAAGAGGCAGGGGTATTCTAGGTAAGACACCTGCGGCAAGCATGTACCCCCCCCCCTCTCCACATGGCCACTGACACTGTTAGATCCCCTTGGTACAGTTGATCGCATCGGGGAGCCGGCCGATGTCCGATCAATCATACATGAAGTGGACGCAAAATGCGCCCCATACACAAGTCCCTTACATAGCTATCTTACTCTAACAAGTGCGCGGCTCTCGCTGCAGACAGCAGGTTTTTGTTCAAGGGGAATGTAATCAGCCATTTGAACTGCAGCGAACTCTCGAAGCTCGGCTTCCGAATCTCCCTCATGACAGTAAAGAATATCTACAGTTGAAAGGAGCTCTCGGGATAGTTCCTAACCATTTTCGAAATAAGTTGCTCGGAGCTTACTCTCTGGACTGTAATTGACCTGCAATGGTTTTTTTTTTAAATTAAAATGTCATGAACACGGATGAATCCCAATTCCCGAGCCCGCTTCTTCACCAAGCGGTCATATTGGCTGGCAGTGCATCCATTGAGCAGGAAACTGCTATCAAAGCCGGGTTCTCATCGGGGAAAGAATTGCGAAGAACATTTAGTTGGGCGTGCGAAGGTGAGCTATCTGGAGAAGACAGGACATGCTCCATGGCAGCTCGAGACGAATTTGGACTCTATGATCAGCTTCGTGATGAATTCGAGACAGAACACCGACACATACATCCAAATCCAAGCGTCATCGCTCAGGAAGCAATGGCATAGAAGTGGACTTGGCCACAGAAGCCGCCAAGATCTCCGTCCTGCCACGGCCGTCCTGGCCGTGGCGATTATCGGACTGCATTCCGTGCTACCAGATCAGAGATGACCTGGGCACGCATTGTTCCGCGAACACTCCGTTGACGGGGAGAAGTTGATGTACGGTTTGATGAAACAAAACCCCAATCTTCCCAGGGAGATGTCTGAGAGGGGGGGATTCCATTTCTAGTCTGCAACCGGCCAGTGTAAACCATGGTCGGATAAACGAGCGATCGGTCCACGCATCCGCCGAACCGTCTGAATGCCCATCGGCGAATATCTTCGAACAACTCGACGATGCAATTGGTGCCTTTGGGGAGCGTGATGGGAGTCGAAGTGTGGACCCGGTGGTCGGATATTCCAACTCACGTGCTGATAGTCATGTTCAATCCGATAGCGGACGACCAAAGTGGTGCTTGGAACTAGGGACGTTATGGCCCCATAATACAGAATTAGAACTGCATGAACAGGCGGAGTCGACCTACCAGCTCGTCTATGGAATTGAGGGCTGTGAATACTAAGAGGGCTAGAATGGGGGTGAGGACATGGTTCAAAAACGACAGGAGAAGAAAAAGGACAGTGAAAACAAGCCAGGAGAAAAGGCGTTCTTGGCCCATCCTGAGTTGCTCTAGTCTGCGACACAAACAAATGTAGATCACATCGCATCTTCAAGTGCCATGCGTGTGCATTTAAGCTGGTTGCTACTTGTAGGCTGTGCTACGACCGAGGCGTTTGCTTATCTGGGCAACTGCTCTCTCTGCTTAGGCAGTGTTTGCCAGACCTCTCTTCGCCCCTATTTTGACAGATTCTGTGTCTCTATGAAACGAAAGACAACTTTGGAGCAAACTCTCGATCTTGACCGAGACTTTTAATCCCGCTATCTTTCCACGCGTAGATTCAGGCTAGATACCGACCATTCTATACGGTCAAAACTCAACCTATGCCCTTGGATCTATTTAGAGACAAGAAGACTACAGAGAGGAAGAAGCGTAAGGACATAAACTTCACATTACGCAACCATAGGCAAGAGAGATGCGAAAAAAAAATAGCAGACAAGAAGAAAACGTGGTATGAGAGGAAACCCGGCCAAAAGACAGAATCCAGAAACCCCATATCAAGATATCTATAAATTAAGCCTCAAGAAAATAACAACAGATTATTTCCGTGCTTGCAGTAGAAAGAAACAAAAAGGGCCATCGGCACACGGGCCCACTTGGAAGAGAACGCGCTTAGAGGGCGAAAGCGGCGAGGACACCGGCCATGACGGCACCGAAGCTAACAGCGTTGCGGCCAGCACTGTTGAAGGCGGGGGGCGAGTTCAAAGGAGAAGCAGAGGCGGTACCAGAGGGGGTGGCGCTGGTGATGAGACGAACGGAGGCCAAGGGGGTGCTGGAAGAGGGGCTAACGGGGGAAACACCGGTAGGGATGACCTTGGGGGCAGGGGTGGTCGCAGCAGCGGCAGTCTCGGTCTCGGGGCAGATAGTGGTGGTGATCACGGTGCTCTCGAGGACAGTGGTCGACGAGGCAGGAGCGGAGGCAGCCGGGGTGGAAGCGGCAGCGCTGGTCTCAGTCTCGGTGGCTTCGACGGAAGAGGAGCTGGAGCTGGAAACAGCGCCGGCGGCGGCAGAGAGACCGAACTGGGTGGAGTACTGGTACTGGCCGGTACCCTCGACAACGAGCAGGAGACCGTAGTGGGTAACGTCGGGCACAAGGTCAGAGCCAGGGGTCCACTGGAACTCGCCACTGTTGGGGATGGACTCGGCGAGAGTCTTGAGGGGAACGACGTTGTTGGAAGGACCACGCAGGAGAACCAAAGAGACGGGGCCAGTAGTGGTGGGGGTCCACTTGATGGTGTAGGTCTTGCCCTCGGGCACGATGTCGTTCAGGCCAGGATAGATGATGGGATTGCCGGCAGGGTTCTTGGAGTAGTCAGGAGCAGTGTAGGCAGCACCCAGAGCCACGAGGGCGGAGAAAGCGGTGGCGACGGCGAAACGCATGATGTAGTGTCAAGATTGACAAAGAGTGACTGAAGTGGGAATAAAAGAGTGACTATCGTTAAAATAACGAAAAAAAGGATTGTGAAGAGTGGTAGGAAAAAGAGAGGAATAAAAAAGGAAGATGGAGGGGAGACGAACTCCATTTCAAGGACATCTCACGTGGGTCGACGATCCTCCCAAACCAAAAAGACCAAACCGAATCTTCTTGCTCATTTCGGCTACATTTTACCTTTTACTCCTGTGGCTTTAACTTCCCTGGTTATTCCTTGTAACTGCTCCATGTTTTACTCACAATACCTCTCTATACTATTATTATTGTAGTCCTCTGTATGGAGTACGGAGGACGGAATGGAGGGCATCCATCCTTTTCAATCTTTACAGTCTGCCCACCAGGTGAGATGTGATTGTAAACTACCGCCAGGCTGTGCATCCCTGGGGATACAGGGAAAAGTCAATTTTACACCCCAAGCCTTGTTTCCGCCTTTTTCTGCTGTCTTTGAAACCGAACAGGGGGACCAAATGGGAACCGACAATTTTAAAAGGACAAAGGCCGCACCAGACGGACCAGTGTTGTTCGAGGTCAATTAATAATCACAGGTACCGTTTCTGATTGGTGGACACCCCGGTTAATTTGATTCCTGCGGTTGATCCTTCATGTATAGTGAAAACCTCCCGACATGGGAAGATTAACATAAAACGGCAACTGGGACCAAAGGAGAGAAGACTGAAAGCAATGTAGGAGAGACTAGGGATTACGGCATAGAAAGTACGGAGCATCTTTGGTTTGGACTTTCAAGCCTTCTGAGTGGAACTCTTAAGTGAGAACATGATCCGAGGATTCCCTATGATCACCGAGGTAGGAATATCTCAATGAGACGGAGTACGCTGTACAGGTGTTCCATAAGTGAAACTCCTACAGAAATGCGTAGCTGTACGGAGCAATTCTGATGTATGTCAAGGCATCCCTTTTTATCCCTCCTTTACGCCACTCGTGTTCAGGAAAAGGAATAATCAAAAGGATCGCGGGAAATTGCACTCCATTACGACATTGTGTAAGCCCAGGCCCTATGACGGGTGTCGTACAAGTATTGTAACAAACCCCTCAGCGCAGCCACACACAGGGCGCTGTGCCTTGCAGGTACCATGTGTCGCCTCCACGGGAGGAAACAGGAGTTCAACCCTAACCTGCAGGTCCCGAGGGGTCAGGTCCTGATCTTCACTGAGATTCACGATCATCACGACAATAGCAACACTCCACACAGATAGGCCCGTGCCTTATCAAATCCAATCGCCGATCCCACCGGTTCATTAGGGGTATGTCTACGGGAGTACTCCGTATGGGAAAGATTGTCTGTATGGAGTACAGAGTGTGAATGACTGCAATGCAGAAACAACTAGTTGATACCACCCTTACCACTTTTGGCCTAGCGTAATACTAGTGTTCACAGAAGAGGGCAGAAAAACATCTGGACTTCCGTATAAATAGTGATCTTCAGGGGGGCCTTGTGGGCATCTCCTGGGAGTCCGACAGGTAAAAAAATTAAAAAGTAAACATGGATTTTGTCTCACCCGGTAAATTCCTGTGATTTGTTACGTTCCTGTGCCTGAATTTCAAGTGGGACGTATGCCCGCCCGTGGCTATCGGTCAAATCTTGCTTTTACTGGGTCCAAAGCCTGGAATTCCGCCACAGGTCTATTCATAGGCTCAAGCCCTTTTGGTTTATTCTCCAAATCGAGTGAATTGGAATTTCGGTAGGAAAAAGAATACAGATCACATGACCTTCAGCCTCATGGAGTGACACAGAGGCTCCGAACCACAATCGGAAACGAAAAAGAAACGAAAAAGAGACAAGTTCCAGAACGTGACGCACAATTGTATACCTATGCCGTGAACCCGATGCATCATATCTAAATCCCATCACACAGAGCCATTGCGAGTCATTCAACTCGCCTGCACCGTATCAGACGGGTATCGGGACTACCTCCTTCGGGAGCACCTCTAGGCGACGTCATGAGGCATCGTTATTGGCTGCACTGACTGCACGGTTCGGATCAAAGCCAACTAAGCCCCAAATAGGCTCCAAGCCCAGAACAAGCCTCAAGTCCCAACTAGGGAAACAGTCGCCCGTGGTCCAATCCAGCCAGGGGTCAAACGGACTCCAAACGGGGGCCAAATCAAAACAGATCTACCATGTAGTCCGTACTGTCGTGAAGCCTATACCTGTGAGTCTAACCTCTACTCCTGCCATGTAATGGTTTTAGTCTGGAGGAACTCATCGTATCCAGAACTCCCTCCGAAGCGACCAAAGCCACTACTCTTCCATCCTCCGTGAGGGAGGGCAGACTCGTCGTGTACAGTCAGAGAATTGATATGGACGGCCCTAGGGAAAAAAAAAATTTAAAATACAAAGTTAACCTCAATCCAATCTCCACAAAATGATGTGTTCTATTTTCGGAACGCAAAAACTCACCCTGAGTCAATTTGCTTAGCCACCCGCAGCCCCCGGAACAGATTGTTGGTATACAGAGCTGCTGTCAGACCGTATTCGGTGTCATTTGCTAGTGCGATTGCCTCATCTTCAGTGTCCACAACCATGAGAGACACGGTCGGACCAAACGACTCGGTAGCGTACATCTCCATCTCCTTGGTGACACCGTCGACGACGATCGGTCGCATGCCCGCTCCAACGGACTCGCTTGCATTGGCGTCGCCGAAAAGAAGCGAAGCTCCGCGAGACACGGCGTCTGCCACAAGCCTCTTGTTCTTAGCGACGGCTGCGGTGTTCACTAGTACTAGCGCGGGCGCATCCTTGCCAAACAACTTCTCCGTCGTCGCAGCAAGTTTCTGTCGGAACTCATCTGCAATGGACCGTAGCACGATAATCCGCTCGGTCGACATGCAGATTTGACCGGACTGTATAGTGTTTGTCAGTATGTGATTTCCCTTGTCTCGATCGAACCAAAACTACATACGTGCATGAACGATCCAATGGCACAGTTCATGGCAGCCTTGTCCAAATTCGCGTCGTCCAAAACAACCGCCGACGCCTTCCCACCCAGCTCGAGCAGCACAGGCTTGATGTATTTACCTGCGGTGGAAGCAATGATCGAGCCGACCAGTGTGCTCCCGGTGAAGTTGACCTTGCGCACAGCCTGGTGAGCAATCAGCGCAGTGGTGACGGCCGGGGCGTCGGAGGGCTGGTGGAAGATGACGTTCAGACATCCGGCAGGAAGACCAGCCTGGCGGAAGATATCGCCCAGGGCCCAGAAACACTTGGGTGAGAGCTCGGAGCCCTTGAGAACGACGGTGTTTCCGGCTGCGAGTGGGAGCGCTACGGCGCGCGTACCCAGAATGAAAGGAGCGTTCCTGCAATTCAATTAACACGAGTCCCAGGCCAGCCGATGAATTTTCGCATGTGTCACAGATCGGATTTACGAAGCTTACCATGGCGCGATTGACAGAATTACTCCATACGGCTCCTTGTATACGATCGCTTCCTCCCCCTCCCCGCTCACATGGGGCACGACACCCTCGATCGTGGATATCCGACCCGCGAACTCTTTGATAAAGAGCACACCCTGGTTGAAAGTGAATTCCGAAAAGGGTCGACCGGCACCGGTCTCCTCGCGCTGGTACTGTATCAATTCCTCTTTGCGCGAGGCCATAATGTCGGCGGCCTTCAACAGGATGTCGCGGCGCTCGTGTGCCTTGGTCTTCCTCCATGCGAGAAAGGCAGCCTGGGCACTGTCGACTGCGCGGTTGGCATCGGCGACCGACACACCGGCACAATAGCCACTCAGCTCGCCGGTGGCGGGAGCATGGACTTCAAATCTGACATCGGTCTCAACGGACTCATTATCGATGATAAGCGGGGTTACCGCTTTGTTGGATGATGCCATTGTGGGTGTCTGGTGAAATTGAAGGGAAAAATACGGGAAGATCTCTCTGTTTTGTGATTTGTGTTTTTTTATTTTATACAGAAAGGGACCGGCCTATTCGAATGGAGGAGTTCAGTTGCTTTAATAGGAGCTATGATTTTCACCAAAGAGAGAGGCGGGGGTGGCGGGAACACAAAGGGGTAGACTTTGATATCCGACTGCGTTATTGAAACCGTAGATCGGTTAGTTATTTCCGGGGTCTGGGGTCGCTATTCAACGGAGTAATGAATTATCTCCGGACTGTCTGCGGATGTAGAAAGCTAAAAAGGCTCTTCAACTGCCTTGAACAAGAGCCGACCTCGGGAGCTATGTGGAGAGGAAAAGATGACAAAGCCGGATGCGTTTCCGAGATGAATGAGCATGAACGAGATCAACGAGATCAACGACATGGATTAGATGAAGATGCCCAGGGACTTAAAATAAAATTTCTTCAAGATCGTTTTGGATTAATTTAAAACCCCCGTCTACGCTGATCAAATGTATTTCCAAAGCCCCAGACCTCCAAGTCCAGCCATATCACTCATTACCCCAGATACCCTAAGCGCCTGAACGATGCAATTCATGACCCGCAAAATAACCCAGAGATCCCCTCAATTGGCCCAAATCTTTGTCTCGGTTGAAGAGGCGTTTTTGCTCAATTCCGCGAATGGACACGCCGACACCTTGGATGTCGTTGACGCATTTCCTATCGTCGACGGCGCCATGCTATTTAACGAGGGTGCCATGCTATTTATCGAAGGAGCTGTACTGCGTATTGAAGGCGCAACACCACTCGAAATACTGGACCTATCATCCTCGGTCGAGCTACCGGAGCTGCTGCCCAGGATGCGCTTGTCGCCGAGGTAACCCTCCTGATCCTCGCCATAGTTGAACTCAGACATCTCATCCGCGAACTCTTCGCCGTCGCTCGAATGGTACCGAGCGAAGAGATCATTCTGAATCCACAGGATCTTGTTGACGGCGCGCACGAGTGCGATCTTGCGTCGCAGCGACAGGTGCGGGTGCGACAGCATCGCTTCGATCCAGATGTCTTGGATATACCCCAGACATACGCCGAGATGGATGTACTCGATGTTCAATGGCGACATGCGTACTGTTCCGCTGTGCATCAGGCTGTGTCACCAAACCCCACGTTAGCGCGTTGCACAAACACCGAGCATTGCCGGGGGGACGGGGCATCTGGGGACGGGAAAGTGGGGATGTCGGGTGTGAACTTACCCAACCTTGTTCAGGTACCGCCAAAAGTCCATGGTGGTCGGGTCCTGACATAGCCGCGTCAGGTACCACCGCAGGAACATCTTGCGTCGTTTGATTTTAGGGGTCTCTTCATGGAGATAATCTTCCTCGGGCTCGGTCTCGTCGACGGTTGTGCGTGTGTGGAAGGCCCGAGATGTGATGTCGTATTGGAGAAGCTTTTTATATACCAGGTTGACCACGGCCGGGATCAATTGCTTAATGTATTTGTTGCCGGACACTAACGCTTCAACATCGCCTAGGAAAATGTTAGTGGCTGTGGCTTACTCTTAAGATCGGTTGATGGTGAAAGAACTTACTAGAATTGAAGTCGAGGAAGCTATGGAGGTACTTGATTCGCTCTTCCAGGCTTGTATAAAGTAGCTTGCGGTCGACATGTGTCGGCTCAGGAGCCGCTCTTGCACTGTACTCCATGCTGCCGGAGGTGATGTCTTTTATAAAAATCGCCCTGGCAAAGAGCTGGGGTGTTATCTGAAGGAGTTGAGGAGAGGAGGAGGAAGAAAAAAAAAAGGTGATGGAAAAGAGACTGAAGATCGATTATAAAAAGGAGAAGTCTGGGGAACCTCGTGGCAAACCCGTGGCAGATCGAGTATTTATACCATCGATGCGCGATACCCGTTCAGATTACTCCGGTTTACCGTTCTTCGAGATTGTACGCAACTCGATCATATTAAAAGCCACCGAACCGTAAAATACGTCTTATTGCGGATCCGCTTTGGGCAATCCTGCAACCAGACGCCCGATGACTCTTACCTCAAAAAGCGATTTTTCCCGGTCTGATGGCGAACCCAGTAATATCAAGCCGAGATCTTCCCTCACGCGTCCATTTTTACTGAGTAAGGAAAGTGCTCGTGGTCGAATCAGACCACAGAGTAAGATAGTTTCCTCCGTCACTCTCCAAACCTTGGAAGTGGAGTGACCACCTTGGCAGATGTGGGCTGACCCATTCTCCAAGCTAAGGGAAAAAAAAGAAATTGGAAACGAAACACGCGTAAGCGGCACGATCCATCATTGCCGTGCTGTCAGACCCCGGAAGTTGAAACAAGCGGTTTGGAAACGTAACAGAATACTGTCAGCCCAACTTTAACAGGCTGGGGTTCAGCCCTCGCTTCATCTATATCATCCTAGTGTACGATCAGATGGCGCTTTTGACATGCCGGGGAATAAAAAAAAAGACCAAAACACATGTCAATTGCGCGAACCATTGCCCGTGCCAAAGAAGCCCCCCCAAAAAAAAACCGGGTCTGCCGGCGTTTACATTTCACTCTCGCTCACTGGCTAAGGAACGCCGCTACGGCCTTAACGGTTTCGTCTAGAAGAGACAAAGTGGGTTCCGTTCGGGTCCGACTGTACTGCGGGCCTGATGACATTCAGACACACTAAGATCTAGTATTCACACAAGTCCACGGGAGTAGATGTGGATTAATCGTGAGTTCATCGGGACTGGATGAGATCTGAACTTTAGATCTTGAGATCAACTTGAGTTCTAAGCAACAACGTATGACAACACAATTGGCCCAGAAAACAATCTCAACGCCCCTTAATAAGTTGGTGCTTCTGGAAGACACTGAATGGGTGGTTGTGTGGGTCTGAAGGAACAGTTTGCGGATGACAATCCACAACAGGGGACAATCGAAGCTAACGGTCAATAGCGTCAAAAATCAGCAAACACATGCATGTCTAGTGAGATAGACCCTTGCCCACAGGATCCATTTTTAACATTAAACCCCCAGTCCGGTGTCGTGTGACGCATGGCCTGACTATATCTCGGGACAGCCGGTGGATATGGCATGATCTACGGAATATTTAAGGGATGAAAATTTTTCACCAAGGGGCCAAAAACCCACCCCCTCATATTGAATTTGGATTAAATTCTCCGAAGTGATGCTTCAGAGCGGATAACACTCTTTTTTTAACTTCTCTTGATCTGGAAGGTTTCAAAAGCAGCGACAATCATTGCCGCGTCAGGGCTTCTTCGACGGGGCTAACACTTGAGAATAACCTCCCGGGGAGGGGGGGGGGGGGGGGGGGGCTTGACACGATTACCCATGAAATGAAACAGCTAGATTTCAAACGGTTTGTGGAGATTTGATGGTGACAGCCCTGGGGCTGTTCACAAGACCATCAGCCAGTCACCATGTTCCAGATGAAAATTGTGAAACGGGGGGGGCGAAGAAAGTTGCAAATGCGTTACAGAGTGCTGGTCTCGAGCTCTTTGAGCTTTGCAGCGGTCAAGATTGAACACTTGCTTTTGAGAAAACACGAGATTCCATTGGGAGATCATGAGCCATTATAAGATTTCATACTCCATCCGCATCACATCTAGATAGCCTCGGATGACGTGGTCTGTCCATGAGATATATCATGAACTTTTCCCGGCTGCGTTGCTCCGTGCGGCGGCGGCATCATAGAGACCCTTGATGTCTGCCTGCCACTGTTTCACGTCGACTCTTGCCACGCGGCGATCATACGTAAGCAGGCCGTTAACCTCGCCCTCGACATCGGTCGTCTGCGTCCAGACGCCCCCACTGCATGCGTACAGGCGGACTTGATCCTCAAGCTCGTTCAAGAGAAGGTGACTCCGATAATTCCATGTCTCAATGGTGGTGTCGATTTCGTATGTCTGGCCGATAGTATTGATGGATACCTGGCTGTTCCAGAGATGCTCACTGGATACATTTGTCCCGATGCCGCCAAATTCACCCTGGAACCCAATCCGGTTGGGATCATATGGGCTCGATGGTGTGGAGTAGAAGGGAGTGCCACATTGTGGGTTTGCGTAATGGTGGTTGTCCTAATTCAGGTGGATTAGACACGTGGTTGAGCCATAGGGAAACCTTGAAAGGGCGCATACACTAAAGTCTCCCGCGCCGTGGTCATCCCAGCCAGTCGTCGAGTCGACAAGCCGAGTGGGGTCCAGATGTCTTACCCGCTCGGTCAGTTCAAACTCGGGGTAGTGTTCTGTGATTTGGCCCCAGGCTTCGTTGTAAATGACCTGTAGAGAGTAGTTAACGTCGGAATCTGTCTTGCTTTCTCCCCAACACCTTCACTTACCCAGGTTACAATACTGGGGAAGCTCTTGAGTTGGTTGACCAACACATTTAGCTGGCGAACGAACTCAGCCTGCTGCTTCTCATCTGGTAGAATATTGATCAAGTTGCAGTTTGCATCTCTCCTGGACTGCAGCGGGCGCATGGAAGGCATATCCTGGATCACAAGCAGGCCGAGCTCGTCGCATGCTTGATAGAACAGATCGGTCTCGACCTTGATCTGCATGGGATGGTGTGAGAACGGGAAACCATAAGATACGCTGGGATGCGGAGACACTCACATGCTTTCGGACCATGTTGAATCCCAGCTTCTTTAGCATCTCTAAATCGAACACCATCGCCTCTTTACTGGGTGGTGTATATAAGCCATCGGGCCAATAGCCTTGATCCAAGGTACCGAACATGAAAACAAATTCTCCGTTGAGCAAGGGTCGCTCAATCCCGTCAATCTTGCCCCTGGAGATTGTGCGGAAGCCAATGTAGCTCTCCACCTGATCGGTTCCAAGCTTGACGGTCACATTGTACAGGTCAGGCGAATCTGGGGACCAGAGCTGGGGCGAAGATACGATAAATTGGAATGGCTCATCGGTGGGGCCTTGATGGGTTGCAACAGTCTTGCCATCTTTGTGGACCGTAACCTCGGCCTGGGCCGATTTCTCCTTGGCGGAGCTGTGTACAGTGATGTTTACTACACGCAGTCAGAATCAAGCAATGCTTGCCGTTGACACTGTGCACTTACCTTGGCCATCCATGTTGGCGTCGAGGTCGAGTTGGGCAATGTGGTTAGATGGGGCAGCCTCGAGCCAAACAGATTGCCATATTCCACTGCACGGGGTATAAAAGATATGATTCGGCCTCAAGGTCTGCTTTCCAATAGGAATAACATAGTCACCATTGTCAGTAGGATCATGCACGAACACAAGTCTGCATTTGAAATCAGATATATAAGTCGAATGCGTTGTGATCCCGGGATACTCACAGCTCATTCGGCTGATCAAACTTCAGGTACTTTGTCACGTCGACCGTGAAGCGGAAGTATCCGCCACGGTGGAAGCCTGCTTCTTCGCCGTTGACAAAGACTGTGGCTTCATAGTCCACCGCTCCAAAATTTAGCAATACTTGCTCACCCTTCCACGACGATGATACCTCGAAGGATGTCGAAAACCAAGAGTACAAAGCCCAATCAGTCTGAATTCCTGTAAATCTTGGTTAATTTTTTTTGATGACAACAAGTAGGAAAATCCCTACCGGACAGTCCACTCTCAAGACACGATGGAATCAAAACATCCTGTGCAAGCTCTTGCCCAAAGGGTGGTTGCTGAATAGCATCGAGGCCTAAAGCTTTTTGGTACTTCCACACTCCGTTGAGATTCTTCCATTCAGAGCGCTGCAGCAACGGCCGCGGATATTCGGGCCACGGGTTCGTTCCGACTTTGTCAGTCCATGGTGTTGTCAAGGGAGGCTTCTTAAGGGAGTAACCTTCACTGCGTGCCTTGTTTTCCTGAAACTTCGTGCCATCATTGCTAGGCATGGCTATACAAGTCACCATCAGGCACGATAAGACCAGACTGTAAGGTAAGTGCATGTCGATCGGAAGCACTCAGATCTTTTGACAGAAGTAGACACACACAGGTCCGAGGATCTTCGGGACAAAGTGTCATATTCTGGGCCTGATTGGGTCAGTCCCTGTATTTAAATACATCGCGCCCTGTGTACGCCGGACTAGCAGACTCCTAGCACGGTGCTTCCCTACGTACAGCATGCGCACTTGGCAGAGACACCCCCACAAGCGCTAGCCCCGAGGAAGTACACAGGGCGCCGAGAAATCTCACTGAGGGTCGCGAGCATGTCGGTCGCCGGCTGGTCTGACCACAGGTAGCATCATCCACTGCTTGGCATTACTGACAGCGCAGGAGCCAATAGCCAAGAGCAACAGCCAAGTGCCAAGTGCCAAGTGCCGGCGGGCAGCAATGATGTCGATATGTACATGATCAACAAATAGCCCGTCACGAAGGGTGAGGTTGCTCTTGCCGGCTACGAACACTCCAGCTGTGGATTCTCGAGACAAGCCAAAAATGATCAGAATGCTCCCGGCACCTAATCATAATAATCCCTCAGAAGTTTCCCAGCCGCCATGACCAGCTCCAGGTAGCGACAAATCACGGCCGTGATAGGTATCCAATGGAGCATTTCTTGCCAGCAAAATACAAGTCACGCGACAGAATGTTCAGTCTGGGCCGACTGCTCTGCCGAATACCACGAAAACTCAACGCCGATCGCAACCCACGGGCGACAGCCGATTTGTCGTTGTTCCAGGCCTGCATTTCCCGTGCAAGGGAAGTTATGTCGCTTGCTGTCTCATCCATTCGCCGAAATATGCAACTCATCTGCAAATCCAAGCCAAGTCCAAGAATGAAGTCATGTTCACATGGAATGGTTTGATCTTGCATTGTAGGTCCACCCAGCAAGAACCCTTGCGTCCGGATAGCATGGCACACTAGCGCCCTTCCCCCCACCCTCCCCTCCAAGTAGAATCTATATTTGATGAAATGACCTGGCCACGATCTGATTTCCTCATATATATCATTCACTCCTTCGGCATGGCTGACCAACGTCGCGCTACCCCGCTGCCTCCGATGAGGTGGTAGTGTCAGGTTGAATCGGCTTCGATTTAAGAATACGAAAGGCCGCCCTGATCCTCCGAGTCTGGCTTGGCGCGACGATCCCCTCTTCTCAATTGGCGAGTTGTTCATCCGGTTCCTGCCTCCACGTAAGCCTAGGTCTGGGACTGTGACTAGCTTTGGGGCTTCGGTGGTGCTCCGCCTCCGTTCTTCCCCGCGTTTCAAGAGCGGGGCTTGCGGTGAACTTTGTTGACGCTTCAATCAGAGATTCTGACCCTGGTGATGGTGTGAATCTCGGTGTCATAGGACAGATATGATCAAATTTTGGGGCAAACGAATCCTTCGTGTGTTCTTGATTCGGCAACCTCTGGTGAGTTTCCTGGTTGACTATTTCCCCCCCCCCCCCCCACGCAACTGAGACTCACCCCGAGCAAGATTAACCTCCTAATTCTCGAGACATCGAAAACAACATAACTGCAGTTGGTCCACTGTGAATTGCGATTACTGAGGAAGAACATAAGTTAATTAAATGCTAGGGTGCTGATCTTGTTAAAAATCTGACTGATCGAACCTTCAGTGTGTGGAACCAGTCTCAAATCGTTGGTCAGGGTCACTAGCCCGGACTCGGATTAGGTTGAGGTAGATCTCCCGTATATCGTCCTCCCAAGCGAGGGTAGGCCAATGAATTGCTTCGAGAAGTTGGGAGTTCGGCCGTTTTAGTTCTGAAATAAAAAGAAAGGAAAGGAAATGACAGTGGGTAGCGTTGCTCGGATCCAGAACATGTGCGACGGACCCAGCCCAATTTGAATGAGGAAATTGGCTTGAATATGCAACCGCGAAGATTCAACCATCGTGGTCAACTTGCGCGATGAAGGAGGGTAAAATGGTTGGCCCCTCGATATTGCCAAGTTACTATAGGAGAGTCCCATCTGTTGACAAGGTCAGAACCCCAACCAGAGCTATCGACCGAAGCACTTACCTTCTGCCAAGCTTCCCATCGTGTAAATGATCAGCCAGAACAAAAAGTGCGGAAAATTGTCTGTTCAAATCGCAAATCCAATTTTGAAATTGGAAGATCTGGCTTGATAATGGGGTTACAAGTCATGGCTTTTATTTTGTTTTGGACTACGCCAAAGCCAGACGAATATGTAGCTCTCTATCATCTGTCGATAGCCTCACCAACGAGCAGCGTGGCATTGCGAAAGCTTTAAGGTATCTACATCTTTCTTCCAAATTCCATTGAGCCTGTGGATCATAAATTTGTATGGTGTAATCGGATGTGGGGAGTAAAATCAGGCCTAACAGCTTTCGGGATTGGCAGATACTTCATTTGTGATCATCTAATTCTGTCCCAACAAGTGGAAGATGGATTAATAGTTAAGACAATAACCAGAAGCAAGAAAATTGCGACTTAGGTACGGCGCTCTCTGTGCAAAAATTCTCTGAGATCTTTGCCTGAGTCTCGAAGTCGTCAGTCAGTGGTGATTGACCACAGTTGAATCTTATTGAGAGATCCGATATCTGCAGAGTGCAATAAAATTCAACGCATTTGATTCTTCGATTCCCTGTTGACCGATCTTTTCTATCGGGATTGAAGTTGATATCGGGATTTGGATGGAACAATCCGGGAAATTCTGCAAGACCCCGGGATTCAAGCCGAAGTTCTGCAGCGACAAGGCCCACACATCATGGCATGATCTAAATCAAATCGAGCTCTGACAGACCCCGGGCTGAAAAAAAAAAGGATCGTGCGTACTTGCTTACGTACGACTTGTCGAGTTGCCGGGAACTAACTATCCTCTGGAGTGACACCACAGTGAAGCAAACCCCGTGTTGATCTCCCGGGCCTCAAGGTTGCACTTTATCGATTGTGACTACCATTATTCGTTATGCAACGGCTTCAGAGCAGTCCCCGAGTCCGAGAGCTTCCGAATCTCCTGATGTTCCTCAATTTGTACTTCGGGGTTTGGGAGATACAGGTCATCGTTTCAGAGCCAACATGTACGACAGCTGGAGGTGTTATAAATTGAGGTTCTTCCCGGGCGTGAACGAAAGTCTTTCATTCTACGCAACAGTTTCAAAAGCAAACACTTGTGCAAATACAACACGCCTTTCAACATGGTTCCCGTTCTCAAGAAGTACAAGGCCGCCGCCGTCAATGCCGAGCCTGGCTGGTTCGACCTCCAGGAGTCTGTTCGCCGGACAATCCACTGGATCGATGAAGCCGGAAAGGAAGGTTGCAAGTTGATTGCCTTCCCGGAGTTGTGTGAGTATCACAGTGCCAAGGATTGGATGCAATGGACTAACAAGGATGAACAGGGATTCCCGGCTACCCCTACTGGGCCTGGAAGGTCAACTACCAGGAGAGCCTACCTCTGCTGAAGAAGTACCGCGAGAACAGTCTCGCCTCCAACTCGGAGGAAATGCGCCGCATCCGTGAGGCAGCCAAGGCCAACAAGATTTGGGTGTCTCTTGGATACTCGGAGCTCGATCTCGCGAGTCTGTACACGACGCAGATCATGATCAGCCCGGCGGGAGATGTCATCAACCACCGTCGCAAAATCAAGGCCACCCACGTCGAGCGCCTTGTTTTCGGAGACGGCACTGGCGACACTACCGAGTCCGTGATGGACACCGAAATCGGCCGTATTGGACACCTGAACTGCTGGGAGAACATGAACCCTTTCCTGAAGGCCTACGCCGCCTCGCTCGGTGAGCAGGTGCACATCGCTGCTTGGCCTCTGTACCCCCGAAAGGAGACTCTCAAGTACCCGGATCCATACACCAACGTGGCCGAGGCAAACGCTGATGTATGTTTTCACGTTGCTTTTTTACATCTTGCGAGGAGTAAATCTGATTACTGACAAGATTCCTCAGCTTGTTACCCCCGCTTACGCGATCGAGACTGGCGCGTTCACACTCGCCCCCTGGCAGACAATCACCGCCGAGGGAATCAAGCTCAACACCCCTCCTGGAAAGGAGCTTGAGGATCCCAACCTCTACAACGGAAATGGCCGTATCTATGGTCCCGATGGACAGAACCTCGTTCCCCACCCCGACAGAGACTTCCAGGGTCTTCTTTACGTGGACGTACGTGGATGAACCTTTTTTTTTCTTTCTTTATTTTTTTTCATCAGAATGTCAAACTAACACGTCGTCAAACAGATTGACCTCGACGAGATCCACCTGACCAAGTCTTTGGCCGATTTCGGCGGTCACTACATGCGCCCGGACTTGATCCGTCTTCTGGTCGACACCAACCGCAAGGATTTGGTTGTGCACGAGGACAGAGTCAACGGGGGTGTTACTTACACTCGGACAGTTGACCGGGTCGGACTTTCGACTCCTTTGGACTCGTCTGCCGAGGCTCAACCCGAGAGCCAGTAGAGATCTTTCGAACTCCAATCAACATTTGTATTATTAGAACCCAAAATTTCAACTCTTTTCCCTTTTTTTTTTCCTTTCTTGGAAAATTCCAGAAGTCTACATTGTTTAGGGAGTTGATCTCCGATCAGGCAGCTCCAATCACTTGAAATGTTACAGGGTTTTATCGTAGCGAGGAAGGGACTTGAGTTTCTGCTTCAGCTCAATTAGCGGCACCCGTTGTTCTAGATGCGCGCCTGATCTATTGATCACTCGGTGAAATCCGAATAGCAAAAAAGGGAATTTTGGAGGTTAACCTGGAGACGAACCGACTTCATTGATAGGAAGTCCAGGGTGGTCGCTCCTCACGGGTCTAGACCGGTGAACCGCGACGCACATTCCACCACCTTCGCATTCTTCAAATCCCCGAGTACTCTGTCTGATGTGAGTGGTCACAACTTCAAGGCCCTAGACCTCTAGTTGCCTGTGCAGATCCACCCTCTGACTCGGGGCGACCGGACATTGGCTGAGTTAGACGGAGATGGTGACTGGGAATCTTGTACGGGGTATTCCGTACAATGCATGTCCTAAATTTTAGTTCTTACCCTGTCTCAGATCCAAATGCACTTGTGTTGTATAAACCACTGATCATGCACTAATCCTACACTTGCCGGAAATGGAAGTATTGAAGACGATAGGTCTCGACCCCCTGTATCCCTGTTTCCCTGATTCAACAATATATCAGGATTTCACACTAACGATGTTAGGTTTTTTTTTTTTTTCTTTCCTTTTTTTGTAGGCCTTTGACATGCATTCAACCCATGCCCACGGTGGGTATGTAAAGACAGCCATGGACCTACGGTCTCTCAAAATCCACCATGTGAAACAGCATCGTTTCATCTGGACTCGAATACATTTTCAATTCAGTCTGACATCAATACTCACGGAAAGATGTTCAAGCGAGAGATGAATGTCGAGAAGCTGCCAAGGAAATTACATTCCGTAAAAAAAAAAGTGACGGACTTGCCACGTGCTGATCGCCATCATATCATGGAATGTGAAAACTGCAAACGGTTGAGATTTGGTCCCTGAGCCATTGAATTGGGAGGGTATGAGGTGTCTGGTCTATATGGAAAAATATCAAGTCCAGAGGTAAATTGTGTGAAGAAAATCAGGAATCCCCTCCGTGACAGAGGGCAAATGATGGAGGATAATGTCCCCAGATACTATTTTGGGTCGCCCTTGCCAATAAAACACATAGTGACGAAGGAGACACTCAGTCTTTCCATATTGTCCAGTGTGTCTAGACCTGATCCATATTCATCGTGACCTTTAACCCCGTTCACAGGTGGTATTGACGACGATTCCCCAGATCAACAAGGTACCGTTACTACCATCAAGAGAACAAGGCCTTTGTGACTTTGTCCACCCCCCCCCCCAAGATCCCCGGACAACCTGACCCATCACTGTTTTCGGCCACTCCACTCTCCGCTTGATTCAGACTGCGAAGAATAAGCTACACAGGTACGTTACTTTGGCTTCGATTTCTGTCATTCCCCCATGGGGATTTCCGTTCTCACCCAGGTGACCTTTGGTCTGCCTGCATCCGGATACCTAATCAACCACCTTCAATCTCAAGTTACTTATAGCAGCTGATCTCCAACCGTTCAACTCTAATCCATTCATTCCGAATTCTTCTTTCATCATTCTTCATTCCACACCACTCATATTTCAACCTCGACCTCCTGATTTTCTGGGTCTGACCAGTTTAGGGACTTCAACATGCCGTCCATGTCCGAGATCTCGCAGAAATCCTTGCTCGGGCTGTCTTTGATGGCAGCCTTGGTGCAGGCCACACCCACAGTGTGAGTGTTACCTCTCTACCCAGCACTACAGTCCCAATATACCCAATCCCTCTACAGAGGCTAATGGAAATCGTGGTACAGTAGCCTAAACTTCAACTACCGGGATGACAAGGTCCGGGGTGTCAACCTCGGTGGTTGGCTGGTAACTGAACCCTGGATCACTCCATCGATTTTTGACGCCGCTGGCGATGCGGCGGTCGATGAGTGGTCTCTCTGTGAGACTTTGGGTGCGGATGAATGTCGCTCTGTTCTGTCCCAACACTGGAGCAGTTTCATTACCGCCGACGATTTGAATCAAATCGCCAGTGCAGGAATGAACCACGTCAGAATCCCTGTGGGATACTGGGCTTTGAAGCACTTGGATGGAGACCAGTACATCGATGGTCAGCTGGAGTATCTCGACCAGGCCATCGGCTGGGCTCGCGCCGCCGGTCTCAAGGTCATTGTTGATTTGCACGGAGGTACGGGTCCGCATCTGCCTTTGAGATGACACTCACTGACCAAGAACGCAGCTCCTGGCTCTCAGAACGGATTTGACAACAGTGGAAAACGCGGCAGTATTCAATGGCAACAGGGTGATACGGTTGAACATACCAAAGATGTCCTGGATGCTCTCGCTGCGCGGTATGAAGGCGATGGGGACGTTGTAACTGCAATCGAGGCTTTGAACGAACCTAGCATCCCAGGCGGAGTAAACCAGGATGGTCTGAAGCAATACTACTACGATTCATGGGGCCTGATCCGAAAGGCAAGCCAGGACACCACGCTGGTCCTGCATGACGGCTTCATGCCTCCTGAATCATGGAACGGCTTCATGAGCGAGTCTACCGGTGTCTGGTATGTGATGATGGACACCCACCACTATGAAGTGTTCGACAGCGGTCTACTCGCTGTGGACACCGAAACCCACATCAGCAATGTCTGCAGCTTTGCCAAAGATCACGTTGTGACCTCGGATAAGTGGGCTGTTGTTGGGGAGTGGACTGGCGCCATGACCGATTGTGCTAAGTACTTGAACGGAAAGGGGATTGGTGCCCGCTACGATGGGACTTTCTTCAATAGCCAATATATCGGCAGCTGTGAGGGCAAGTCGACTGGGTCCGTGGATGCTCTATCTGAGGAGGACCGAAGCAACACGCGTCGCTTCATCGAAGGCCAGCTTGATGCCTATGAGAAGGGTAACGGCTGGCTCTACTGGACCTGGAAGACCGAGGGTGCCCCCGAATGGGATATGCAACAGCAAATCGCTGGCGGTGTCTTTCCCAACCCTGTCACTAGTCGGGAATTCCCTGGCCAGTGCTGAGCGCTGGTAGTGATGTGCCTTTTTGCTCTTCTTGTTTTCCAAATGCGGCATGGGACATGCTACTGATTTTGACAGGTTTGGAGTTTTCTTTTGTCTAACTGTTTGTTCAGACCTGATTCGTATTCTTTGACCGATGGACTTGCGTGCAAGCGACTTAGTTCCTCCAGCGTTGTGGTGGACTTTATTTTTAGGAATTCCTGGTTAACTTAGGAAAAGGACAATTCAACTGGTATCCTTTGGGCTTTCTTCGGGTTCTTTGCTCTTTCGAATGATGTAGCCAGTTTACCTACTAAATTTGGAAAGCTCCCAACCTTGGGAAGGTACGTGTGGAGCCGACCGAGGCAACCTTAACTTTATTTCAAAATCACCTCGAGACATGTCTACGTAGAAAACCTGTCACTGGCCTTTGAATCCCAACAATTGATGTTTTATTCGCGTTGAATTCAAGCCAATGAAAGAGACATCATTCAGGGATGACCAAGGGCTAAAAAAAAAAAAACAAATCTTCTGTATTGGGATATGTAGCTGGGATTCTGAGAATGCTAAGAGTCGAATAGGTATGGACCTGGTGGTCATGCAGATAGAACTATATGAGGGTGAAAGAAGCATATACAATGTAATGGTGGCCATGCAAATGGGAAGTGGGCCCACTGATTGAAAGTGAGCAAGGACTGCTTGACTCAGAGCAATTCAAGTGCTCCAAACGCCGAAACAACTTCGGTGTCAATGTTGACCAGCCACTCATCCTGGAACCGCTGCGCTCCACCACAGCCAGTAATGACCTCTTGCAGACGATGGCGCACAAAGTCTCGGATCATGAAGCGATGAATTGCATCCCCAGACTGCCAGTCACGGCGACGGACGATCTCGGGCGATTCGACTTCTTGGGTGCTTTCTGGCATCGCGGTTTCGGACCCGGCGGGTGCATTCCAGCAGACTAAATAATCGGCATTGGAGTCCGTACCACCGTCTGCTAACTCGGTGATGAGATCTGTCCACACACTCAAGTACGATTGTAGGTGAGAAAGAATGTAATCAGGGGGTGGAGGAGGCACGGACGGATCGAGTGGCGCTCCTTGCAAGGCCAAGAGTTGGGTGAGGCCAAGTACGTGCAGTTTCTTTTGGTTAATACTACCAATGTTGTCGTAGTGCAAAAACCATTCGGTTAGGATCCAGGTCAGAGATTGTTCTTCGGATGAGTTGGTCGCGGCGGCGACCGATGAGGCTAAAATGGTAGGGCTGGCTAGTGCAAGGCGCGCTAGCACAGAGAAATAATCGCTTTCGACATTACCGACCACAGGCGAGGACTTTCTCTTTGGGCCAGACGTCTGACTCGCTTCGTGGGCAGAGTAGAGGCCTTCGAGCAGGGAGGCAAGGAACGAGCTGTCCAGAAGGGATTGTGAAATGACGCCATAGGTTGCTTCGCTACCGCCATCGACGGTTTCAGCACCGCGAAGCATCAGATCGGCAAGGCGAGGTATCACGCCGAGACGTTGCTGGGTTGTGGATCTGAGTAGTGATTCAAGAATCACGAAGAGTTGGAAACGGAAACGGTCACTCAGGATCTCCTGCGGCGCGAGGAACACATAAGATTCGAGGATATGAATGGCCTGCGGAGTGCTATCGGTTGCTCCTTCCAGAATGGGGAACAAAGACGGGAAGAGTGATATGATCTCCGGCGAGGCAGGAGATGGCGTGGCCTGAATTATTGCATGCCAGAGTTCCAGTGCCTCATCTAGAAGGTAAACAATGGTTTCCTGGGCGACAAGTTAGGCTAAGCTGGTATATATAGCATGGTTCGCACGGAACTTACCGAGCCAGGTTCTACCGAACTTTGGATCAGGGGAAGAATGAGAGAGTGGTACCTCATAGACTCCTGCCCTAGCGATTGAATCAGAGATGACAGCAAAGTCAAAATAGCTTGTTTCATCAAGTGCTCTTCGCCAGAGCTTTCCCACAACGGTGGGAGTAAAGAGATGATTCGATCGGAGAAGGGGGTGATCTAATATCATCAGTCACGCAGCCGCCGACGAAAACGAGGCAACAACTTACATGCTCTTCCATCTTGACTACCACCATGCGAACCGTCTCCAAAAGCCCCATCTTCGTATCCGAGGATTCGACTTCTTGAACGAGAGACATGAGACTCTCCAGGATGGTAGGCGCAAATGACATGAAGGCCTCGGGCGAAAATTCGTAAGAGTCTAGCACACTCCGTAGTTGCCGACCGGCAGTGATGCGAACAACTAGGTCGTTCAAAGGATCATGCTTGCCAAGCAAATGCTGGAAGATCTGGTAAATTGCGTTTGTGTTCAGTTCGCCTGCCTTGACTGGAACCCATTGACCAAGCACAAGCGCAATTCTTCTCCTTAGAAGCTTGTACTCTGGTTCCTGGGATTGAACCTCAACAACCATGGTGTGCTCCAAGAATGCGTTGAAGTCCAGATGATGTTCAAGACTAGCCGCAGCCAAGCCGATGGCAGAATACAGCGAGTCTTTCAACAACACATTGTGGTTGTCGGTGCCTATAGTGTAATTTTTAGCATTGCACACATTTTTTTATAGCTCCATAACTTACTCGCAAAAGTATAGAATACGGTCAGCAAACGTGGAATCAACAAATCCTTGAAGTGAATCACGAGATCAAGGAAAAGTTTTTCCGAGCATGAACGGATTGAGAACTCCCAAGCGTCAGCATTCTCTTCCTCTCGCTTCTCCCAGTCCTCTGGTTCTTCTTCCCAATCTTGGAAATCGATCTTGCGGAACCTGAAGAACTGTGTGACGAGTAGCTCCATGACATTGATCACAAATTCATCCGTAAAGAGTTGCGTTTTGACAAGCTGAACGGAATTTTTCCGCTCCCCCTTGTCTTCCGGTGTCTGATACTTGAAAGTCTGGGCAGGATTGAACGCCATTTTTGCGCATGCACGGATCAAGAGCAGAGCCCGGAGGCCGGTCTTCTCCGTCAAGGATTTCCCTTCATCTTCGCCCCCAGCACCAAGGCTGTCATATTTCTCGCCTAGTTTGACGACTAATGACCAATACGACTTGACAAGCGAGATACTATTTGGCAGCAACGCGAAAGATGCGGGGTGTGTTTTGGCCATTTCAACGTGCAACTTCGACATCTGCAGCAAATGCTTCTCGATAGCCCGATGAATTGGTTCGGGTAGATTAGTAGACTCATCCACGAGAGAATGGAATTTGCTGAAGTGCGCATGGGTCAGCTCCCAGAAGCTCTGTACTTCTTGGCTGCGACTCGGGTGTTCAAAGCCAGCAATTATCAGGCGCCTTAGAACCTTGAGAGACACCAAGCTCAATTCGAGCGTCTCCAGCAACTCCCCTTCGCCAGCACCACCCTGCTCCAGCATCGCCCCCCATTGATTGATTTTATCAACATAGATGCCTCCCAGTAACTGGAATATCTCAGGCGATGCAGACTGAAGGTTGTGTCGCGTTCGTTGTATTCGTGCTGTAGATAATTCTTTGATAATTTGTAGTAATATGAGGAGAGTTCGGGGGAGTTGGAGTGGATTTGCTCCATGTTGGACGGAGGACCGGAGTGAGGAAATGATGTACGAAATAGCATCAGGCCTGGTGGAAATTAGAAAGAGAAGGTCAACATCTGTATCTTGTCATACCAGTCATGCGGAAACTCAAATCGCATGATTTTGGCAATCATCAACGAGTTATGGAGAGCCAGCAGCGGCGCAGGCTCAACAATTCCTGCCTCGAGAGCCCGGGTCTTGATGTATTCCTTTTCTTCTGCCTTAATCGCACTTCCACGGGTGTTAGCATGACCTCGTCTCAACAAGGTCCAGGTAACATACTTTGGTGCTGTCTTGCGCCAATACTTGTCAATTCCGTTCTTCAGTTGGATGATGGCGAGGTAGCGAACTTCATTCGGTACTGAGTGGTCAAGGAAGACTTCCTGTTTGTTTTTAAGATGTGTTATTAGGTGAAGTAACAACTACCAAGACTGTCAACTGATACCTGTAGAAAAGAGTAGTACATGCCCTGTTTCTCCCAGTTCTGGAGCTGTTCAGTGCCCGTCCGGACTTGCTGCTGGGACGAGCTCGCAGCAAGTACTAGCGTATTGAGCACATTCTGGGGGCTGAGGGGGGTTATCTCGCCCTGTGTTTCGATGGCGAAGGCCATGGAGAACAGCGATGTTGATCGACGCGTGAAAAGAAGAGCCGCAAAGCCTGTATTTAGTTGTTCTAGTACAAGTACCAAATCACAGTTTCACTGAAGTGCCTTTAGTCCCTAGACATTCATGAAAAGAACTTCTGCGCGAGTTCCAGGAGGTTAATTGATCAAATAACAGTCTCGTCGGAGCTCCCCATCCAGCATAAACTCCCCGCCTCCGGAAAATCTATACTCCGGTCCCACTGAACCCTAGGGTTGGACCCTAACATCTGTCTCAATTTAGACATCCTGCTAGCTAGGGCTGAGGTTTCCCCTCAGTGGAGACAATGAAATCCAGAGCTTGCTCAAGGTGATATCAAACTGGCATCGGATAACTTCCAAGATTGCTGTCACGCTAATATCTTTCGATTGACCTTCGATGCTACCGATCGTCCTCCACCCGTGACATACCTATGATGTAACATGATGCAACTTCTTTTTCTCACATGAAGTGAAGTAGGTATGATGTGTACGGGGTAACATATATAAAAGTGCAACACGGTTCTATAGATGCTAATCTCATTGCTCGGATTCCCCTTTAAAACCCCCACCTATTAAATTCTACTTCTTCTGCGCCATATCAAAATCCTCAAAACGTCATGCCTACCACTGAAGAATTAAACCATGTAGGCATCAGCGCCGAGAGGGACCTCAACTCCCACCAGGCCAAGCAGGGTCGCAGTATGAAGAGTGACTCAAGTACGTGGGAAAGGCGGTCTTAATCGGTGTCATTTATCTAACAATCATTTGAAGCTCTTGAGTCTGGAGTCGACGAGATGGTCGACCAGCGATTCTCCCAGCCCACAAGTGTGAAGTACGGCCCTGGCTCAACTGCCTCTGGCAGCGACCACCGTGTGATCCCCGACGAGGAGGGTGGAGTTCGCGATGACCGCAACAGGTAAGCTAAACGCTGCTTCTCTGTGAACTGTCGATCGTTTACATCATCAAAAATCCGTCTCCTCTAGACTCGCTAGGGCAAGTCAGTTTGAGGGCTCTGGCGGTCCGAGGGGCTGATGTCCAGATCTAGATCGAAAAACGAAAACCGTGGTGATCGGGTAATGAAGCCTCGCAGGATTGCCCAGGATAAGATTATACTACAAATGATACCTGATGATCCGTACGATAGTTTGATCTTCATCATTTAACATTCAAGACTCGGCCTCGCATAGAGCCTCAGCAACGTTTCTTTCCCGACTAGGACAATGGATACATCTCGGACCCCACACGTGCAACTTCATTAGACCTTTGCGATCCCACGTGATTGCGTTGGTGATGTTGACAGGATCACGGAGAATTTTCAATTGAATTTTTTTCCCGGAATTCTCTCGAGGTCATTATGGCTCTTTTCAAAATGTTCAAGTGCTGGCTTTACTTGTACTCCCAGACAACTACTCCGTAGTCAGGTGAGAAACTGCCCTGATGGGCAATGCCAAGATGTCTCCTAGTATTTCACTCAGCTCTGCAGTATGTACGGAGTTTGCTCTTATGGTTTACGTACATTGCATATATGAATACGAAGTACGGAGTAGTTACCTGCCACATGCACCTGCACAAAAAATTCCACGGCCACTACTTTTGGGTCCATTTCTGCTTCCAAGGTTCCGTGCTCACCTATTGGTAATACCTTTAGATCACTGGCTGAGACTTAGCACGCCCCCAAGCAAAGCTCAGTGATTTGTCTGGGCACCCCGGGGCATTCTCCACTCACCAAGCGTTGGGCTAAGTATCCAAGTCAGCTTATCTCTAGAAATTCACCACATCAGCACGCTAGCGCCTTATAAGTCCCCACTTGGGGTGGCTCTTGTCTCACTAAGAAAAGTTTACAAAAAAAACCAGGTGCAAACATCTATAGATACATAGTTATATCCCACCTACTCTATGTACGTAGGTATAAATAGGTACCAGACAAATTGATTTTCGAAAGCTGTGAGGAGGACAGAGGAGGGATCTCGGGAGGGTCGGACCCCGGACTCCGGGGCCTTGGCCTTCGCCATGGATCAACAAATCGGCTAAGCATTCGCCTTGATCTTGATGTGGGGCCCTCCAGGGCACATTGAGAACTTTCGAACTTTCGGGCCAATCAGAGGGTTCCGTGGCTCCATGTGCCCGCATCGTACAACAGATGCTCCAGGGCTCCTCATCTAAACTTCAACTCAACATCAGGTCCCGAGTGCGAAATACCCATGTGAGACTTGAATTAAGGCTGGTAAGAACATAGTACCTCATGTACCGGTCAGGTATACCTTTTTCTGGAGTTTATCGCCAATGTAAGATGCACGTGTAGTGACCCCCCTTGCCTGACAAACTTCCAAACTTCCATACATATTCTGGCATTCCGACCTCTCTCGACGATCTTTTCTTCTTTCCTACCATCCTCCTTCTCCTCATTTGCCTCGCTCTCATCTCAGCTACATCAATCTTTTATTGATTTTCTGCGAGATCCATCAGAATGAAGGCTGTTATCGCTGGCTTGATGGGAGCGGCTGCTCTGGCAACCGCTCAGACTGCTACTACCTCTGAGCCCGCTCTTGCGGACATTCGTGCGGCTACTGCAACTACCAAGCCGGAGGTTACCGTCTCTAATGTTAAGGGCTTGGCTTTTGATCGTTTTTATCAAGTCTGGCTGGAGAACATCGTGCGTGACACACTCCTAAACCATTCCTGGGATCTCCGAGACACTGTGACTAACGGTCTCATAGGACTATAGTGATGCCGCCTCCGATGCCAACATGCAGTGGCTTGCTTCTCAGGGTATTCTACTGTAAGTTTCCAGTGACTTGGGTAATGAGTGAGAGGACCCATTCTGATGCTCTTTAGGACCAACTACTACGCTGTCACCCATCCTTCCGAGCCCAACTACTGCGCTTCCGCTGGCGGTGACACATTTGGAATGGATAACGACGACTTCCATCAGATCCCTGCGAACGTTTCCACCATCGCTGATCTGCTTGATACCAAGAGCGTCTCATGGGCTGAATACCAGGAGCACATTCCCTATGCTGGTTTCCAGGGCTACAACTATTCCAATCAGGAAACTTACCACAATGATTACGTTCGCAAGCACAATCCTTTGGTGCTGTATGACTCCGTTGTGGCCAATAACAGTCGTGCGCGTCACATCAAGAGCTTTGATGACTTTGAAAATGATCTCCAGGACAAGAAGCTTCCTCAGTGGGCGTTCATCACCCCTAATATGACCAACGATGCGCATGACACCAACATCACTTTCGCTGCCAAGTGGGAGCGTCCTTGGGTGTCCAAATTGCTCGAGAACGAGTACTTCTACAACAACACTCTCCTCCTTCTGACCTTTGATGAGGACGAGACCTACACAAACGACAACCGTCTCTTCAGCGTTCTACTTGGCGGTGCCGTTCCTGAACATCTCAAGGGTACTAAGGACGATACCTTTTACACACACTACTCCAGCATTGCCAGTGTCTCCGCTAACTGGGGTCTTCCTTCTCTGGGTCGCTGGGATTGTGGTGCAAACCTCTTCGAGATTGTCGCCAACAAGACTGGCTACGTCAACTACGAGGTCGACAAGACCCACCTCACGCTTAACCAGACTTACCCCGGCCCATTGTCGATTGGTGACAAGTCGATTGGCAATACCTCCACCTTCACTGCCGAGTGGCCAGTTCCCATCACCGACAGCAATGAAAAGTGTTCCGCTGGCCACGGTATCCTGGATATCGTCAAGAAAACCTACGGACACCTGGAATCGACATACGACACTAAGCCATACCCCTGGGAGGCCAAGACTCACTACAACGACAAGGTGACCGCCAAGCGCCCATCAAACGTGACCACAAGCAAGACCAACTCCACTGCAGTGAACTCTAGCAGCACAGGCGCTGGTGTTTCTGCCACGGCTCCCATCACTACTGTCATGCTCGGAGCCCTGTTGGCCATCGCTGCCTACTCCTTCTGATTAAGCTGTTCTTTATCTATCCTTGCTAGTCAGCCAGTTGTGGCTGTGATTCAATGACTATTTAATCATCCGAAAAATTGCAGACACGATACCGATTGACTGGGATGAAATGTTCTCTCCAAATCTCGGAGATGTAAAACGCAAACAGAAATCTCTATCTGGAGGCCAATATCTTAATCTTTAGCTATGAAATCAAATCAAATGCGTTAACATTCTGACACTGCGGTTCTTCTCAAAAGACTGCTCAGAGTAATGCTAAGAAGAAGTCACTGAATTCTCATGTAGCATTTGTATAGCATCTGCATCGGTCTGTCCAAGGACCTAGGAACGTATGTTCGTCTCAACTGACGCGAGAAAACACATGCCAAAATAGATAGCGAGGTCTTATTTTCAATGTTATGTATACTGAAGTTCCTAGTGCAAGCTCGGAATTTTACAACTCTCCGGGAAGGCTGAATGTGTGAAGTATACCACAAAAAACAAAATTAAGGGTGGAGGTGAAAAGGGCACAAGAGCCAGGTAGTGTTGTGATTTCAGTGTGCAAATCGCTGTAACCCCATATCCATCCAGTCCAGTCAACCTTTGCCTTCGGTTACATCAGCTGTCTATCAGAGACGTCCTGTCTTGATCAAGATACTCTTAGTCTCAAGAAAACCGTCAAGACTATACAGAAGCCCCTCCCGGCCATTTCCACTCATCTTGAACCCACCAAATGCAGTGTCCTTAGCATTCGTCGGGCTAGTGCAGTTCACCCCAACAGTGCCCGCATCCAGAGCCTTTGCCAAACGAATGGCACGATCAATGTCCTTGGTAAAGACAGCGGCGTACAGGCCGAACTCCGAATTATTTGCCTTCTCAATTGCCTCAGTCTCGGTGGAAAAGGTATTTATCGCGACAACCGGACCAAAGACCTCCTCGAGCATCAGCCGCGAGTCCTCAGCAACGCCCTCAAAAATAGTCGGCCGCACAAAGAACCCGTCATTGGCATCACCACCCAGACTGAGTATCCCATCCTTCTCCCCGATATCAAGGTATTTCATGATACGGTTGTACTGCAGCAGATCAATCTGCGGACCATGCGTAGTAGCAGGATCGAGCGGATCACCCATCTGGGCAGCAGCAAACTTCTCCCGGAATAATTCAACAAATTTTTTAGCCACAGACTCGTGAACGTAAATCCGTGAATTTGCCGAGCACACTTGTCCGCTGTTGAACTGAATGCTAAATTGTGTCTGTGCAACGGCTGTCTCTAGGTCCGCGTCTTCGAAGATAATCGCTGGTGACTTCCCCCCCAGCTCCATGTGTACGTGCTTCATATTTGACTGTGCGGCTGCCGTCTGGATCTTTTGGCCCGTTGCTGTGGAGCCAGTGAAGCTGATACAGCGGACGGTCATGTGCGATGCCAGTGCTGCCCCAGCAGGGTTGCCAAACCCAGAGATGATGTTGATTACTCCAGGTGGAAAGCCCACTTTGTTGATTAGCTTGGCTACATAGAGAGACTGTGTTAGGTGTCAGTTCGCATGGTTCAATGATACATAAAATACATGGCACAAACCGTCAAGGGCGCCTTCTCGCTACTCTTTAATACAATTGTATTGCCTGCTGCCAGTGCCGGTGCCAGCTTCCCAGCAAACATGACAAGCGGGAAGTTCCACGGGATGATCAGTGCTACAACACCATAAGGTTGCTTGACAGTCAGGTTCAGGTGGTCGGGTGTATTGAGGCTGGCCGTTCCCTGCGCGGTCCAACCGCCACCAGCGAAGTAGGTAAAACAATCGGCGGCTGCAGTAGCGTCAAAGAACTGCGAGATTGGTCTGCCGGTAGAGAGTGTCTCGAGCTTTGCCAGCTCATTGTTTGATTCCAAGATGAGCAGGGCTAGTTTGCGCAGGTATGCACCGCGCTTGTCGGTTCCCAGGTCTCGCCAGGTGGGGAAAGCTGCATTGGCAGCAGAAACAGCGTCCTCCACGTCTTGTATGTCGGCTTCTTGTACTTTGGTGATAGAGCAGTTGTTAGCAGCTTTGGTTTTTGCGGAGAAGGAGCCATACCTTGCGCAACAACCTCCTTGGTGTATGGATATATGACTTCAAAAGTTTTGTTACTAGAAGATGCTCGAAACTAAAGATGTCAGCATTAAGAAGCATGGTTGATATATAGATAGCTAGCAATCCTGGAGCCACAGATGCAGTAGAGCCCTACCTCGCCGTTAATGAACAGCCGAGTCTCGATAGATTCTTTCACTAAAGACTCCATATTAGATAAGTTGGAAGATTTGACAACTGGGAACCAAGTAAAAGCACAATTTTAGCCTGAAGACCAGTACAGCCCTGGATGGTAGTTTGATTTATAAACATGCCATCCAATCCAGCCTGGGCAGACCGAGTTTTCAATTAGGGCTACCATTTCGAATCCAATGGTAAGTCCTCGGTCCCAAAGCCAATGATATCTCCGACATCAGCTACCATAGATTTTTTTGGGGGTAATTCAAGTTAAAACTGTGTACAAAGCTGACTTGCATGGATCAATTTAAATGGCTTGTGTCGGCTGTCCAGACTTTATGGAACGACATCACCTAGCAAAGGATCCAGCGATATAAGCCATCCATCGGTTATTTGAGTCAACGATAAGCTTTTGGTCATAGATGCCTTGATCAAATTCTGTGACTGGGAGTAGTATGCATGAGGGTATCTCCGAGGGCCTCCTGAGCCCACCACAATGCTGTCCAATACAACGTTGTACCTAGACGGGTACACATCAGAATTTTGCTTGTGTCACTGTGAGTCTATATGCTTCTTCTCCACTCCCAGTCTCCATATGAGCATGGAAAGCAAAGTCACGTGAGATGCCTCGGCTCTTTAGTCTGGGGAACCGAGCGTGGTCGATGAGCAACTCCGGGAACCATTTCCCCGTACTCTCGCGAATCCCCAACCCGATCCCACCTATCCTCTACAGACACGTCATGATTTCACGATGAGTTCAACAAACTTCGCCGCCGCACAAGAACGGGTTCTTAAACGTCGTCGCCAGCGCGAGGTCGAAGCGCGCGCCTGTCATGCAGCACAGCAGCGGGCCTCTCCGATCAGCCCGGCCACCATCCAACGTCTGCCATATCCATTGAATCAATTGCCCAGCTCGGGGTGGCGGGTTTGGAATTCTATCAAGGGACGGGATGGCTCGCGCCCCGCATTTCGAGTGGGCCAGGTGGATGCTGAATTGTTGGATGAGGAGCTACTTGGTCTGATGAAGGGCCAGGTCGGGGATGCCCTCAAATACTTCGGGGTATGTCTCATTGCTTGCAGAATAATGTGACACAGGGTGGCTAACAGTTACAATAGCCTCAAATGCGCGAAGATTGGTCGCACGAGATTCTGTTAGCATTGCGGGCTATCCTCTTTAAATTATCAATATGGGACCACAATGCATCGTATGGTGCAGCGCTACAAGGCCTCAAATACACCGATAATCGAAGCAAAGGACCTGTTTACTCTTCCCCGACGAAATGGCAGAAGAGTATCTATGGCTTATTGACGGTTGGAGGGCGCTATGCTTGGGACAAGTGGGAGAGCTGGCTGGTTGGACAAGAAGGCGGCTATGATGAGGTCAGTTACAGATAGATTGCTTTCTACTGGCAATCTTTAACTAACGGATGCTGTAAAGCCATCACAGGATATTCGAATGCTGTCGCGACTAACGGACATGCTCTCAACATCGCACTCGATTGCCGCCTTCATCTCTTTCCTGGTGTTCCTAGTGAATGGCCGATACCGTACCTTGGTTGATCGTATCCTTCGCATCCGCCTTATTCCACCGTCTGCACAGGCTAGCCGGGAAGTATCCTTTGAATATCTAAACCGCCAACTAGTTTGGCATGCATTTACCGAGTTCCTTCTTTTCCTCCTTCCTCTTGTTGGAATTAGTCGCTGGAGGCGATGGATCGCCCGTGCATGGCATAAGATGATCAATTCTATCCGGTCAAGCGGGGATGACGACGAGGACTCCGAAAAAAAAGGAGAGCTGGCCTTCCTCCCAGAGCGAACCTGCGCTATCTGCTACCGCGATCAGAACCCTACCACAACAACAGAAAGCGATGTCATGGCGGCCTCTGCGTCAGGAGGTATTGTGGGATCAGCACAAACCGATATCACAAACCCATACGAGACCGTCCCTTGCGGCTGTATATATTGTTTCGTCTGCATTGTGCAGAAAGTCGAAGCAGAAGAAGGACAGGGATGGTCTTGTCTCCGGTGTGGTGAAATTGTCAAGAAGTGCCAGCCTTGGAATGGCGATGTTCTAGAAGAGGCGCGGTCGCAGCCTGGCACCGGCAAGATTGTTGGCTTTGCCATTGACGGGGAACAAGATGACGAGACCCGTGGGACAGATCTTCACCAAGCGGACTCGTTGGACAAATCCAGCCCGTTGCAGGAAATCAGCGCCGATGAAGCACTGCAGCATTCAGAGCAATGGTCGACCATTGAGAAAGAGTCTACAGAAAATGATGGCGCAAGAGGTATGAACTTGAATGAGAATTAAAGCCTGCTTCAATACGACAGCAACACTAAGGCACACGTCTCATACTCTGGATGCTCTGGGGGGCATATATTAGCCTTCTATTCTCCGATTGTTTATTAAATATAAGAAAACTTGGGTAGCCGCAGCACATATGCAACTTGCAACCCTGATAGAAATTTGACGATACCCATACTCGAAGATTGACGTCTCCTTTCACATAACCATACACGAGACTAACCTTACAAACAGCGGAGTCATACTGTCACGGCTTTAAGCATTCCCGTTCAAGGTATTATCCAGCTGGAGACAGCAGCATAGAACCCAATGGAAGCCCCAACAAGTGGAAGCGCAGCCCTGATCAAATTCAGCTGTGACCAATGCTGCAAAAGTCTAAGCACCTCGACATCCTCCCTAGCCCGCTTCGCCTTCTCTTGTGGACTAACCACCATACTTTCGGTACCCTCGGCGACGGCAGCATCATCGCGCGTTGCATGAGCCTTCAGTTTTGTATTCGTCTCCCCCATCACCATAATCGTAAAAGGTGCAATGCTCATCGTAACTCCGACAGCAAGCAGATAGCATGTGGACCAGCTAGATCCAAAGACATCCGGGGCAGGGGTAGGGGAATCTCGCAATACCCAGAGCGCATACAGGCTTGCGAGTGAAGATACTGCGGATATTCCAGGGAAAATTTTGCTGCCACGATCATATAGATCAAACCACTGGTGTGTCATGTGGGCGGTCGAGGTTCCTGGGGTATCTTGGAATGGCCGTGTCGCGCTAGGTGGGTAACGGGCTGGAAGTATGATATTTGGAATGCTCACAATTGACAATGTAGCAATGCCGCCTTGTATACTGTGAGTATTTGGTCCCCTGTTGTGGAGGTAATACTACTTACTTGCTGCCACTGCACAGCCAAGCGTCCCTATTGCCTGGGCGATTCTCACGTCGGTGGCCATTACAATATGGCCAATCGATTATTCAGAAGTTATTGCGATAAACTAATTGCAATGAAGTAGAGCTCAGAATGCCGAACGTTGCTTTTATAGCATATGCATGACGTCGGTGTCATGGATGATGCGGTGACTCTTGCACTACATTGTAAACTCAGTACTTATAGGAACTCGAACATCATCTATTCAGTAGACTCAGCTTGCCAATGGGCATACAATCTTGTTCGTAGATCGGAGACTAGGCCCAACTCCGATCTGCTCATAAATCGGCTGCATCTGACTGGACAGTGAACGTGGGGTCCTGGGGTCGGACATCACTGCGAAGACAACCTTGGAAGCTCCCGAGGTGCGGGTTGTAATTCTCGTCAATTGCCTCTGCAATCCGTTTTTGTTTTTTTTTTCTATCTCACACACCACCATGGACCCCTCAAAGCCAATTGTGCCTAACACTCTTAGTGAGGCCAAATACATCAACTTCCCTTCTTTGCCCACAGATGCGAAGCACCCGGATGGTTCCCCCGCGCTCAATCGACACTCCCACACTATCACCAAAGGCCATGATTTCCCCGGTGCGCGGGTGAGTTGGCATTGAGACAATCGTGAAGTACATCACTGACCACTCAAGGCTATGCTCTATGCCGCTGGTGTTCCAGATAAGGAAGCGATGGCCAAGAGCCCACATGTCGGTATTGCCTCGGTATGGTGGGAAGGAAACCCGTGCAACATGCACTTAATGGACTTGGCCAAGACTGTCAAAAAGTCAGTCTTGGAACAGGGAATGCTTGGGTGGCAGTACAACACGATTGGTGTTTCAGATGCAATTACTATGGGCAGCGAAGGTCGGCTTGACCGTCAATTTTCCCAGCTAGGAAACGAGATAGCTAACCCCCGCTAGGAATGAGATTCTCTCTTCAGACCCGAGAAGTCATTGCTGATAGTATCGAGACCGTAACCTGTGCCCAATACCACGATGCCTGCATTGCTATCCCGGGCTGCGACAAGAACATGCCCGGCGTCGTAATGGGCATGGCTCGCCATAATCGACCCTCAATTATGATCTACGGAGGAACTATTGGAATCGGCTACTCCGAGCATTTGCGAAAACCGATCAATGTCTCAACGTGCTTTGAGGCTGCGGGTGCCTACGCCTACGGTACCCTGTGCCAGCCCGATGATGGCGGTGACCAAACCAAGACTCAGGATGAGATCATGGATGAATTGGAACGGCATGCTTGTCCTGGTGCCGGCGCCTGCGGTGGTATGTTCACGGCGAACACCATGGCCACTGCTATTGAGTCAATGGGTCTGTCACTACCTGGCTCATCGTCCACGCCTGCCGAATCGCCATCCAAGATGCGCGAGTGTGTTCGTGCTGCGGATGCTATCAGGGTTTGCTTAGAGAAGAACATCAAGCCACGGGACCTATTAACCAAGCGGTCCTTTGAAAATGCTCTCGTCATGACAATGGCGCTGGGCGGGAGCACAAACGGTGTTCTCCACTTCCTGGCCATGGCTCGGACAGCTGGTGTTGACCTGACACTGGATGACATTCAGCGGGTCAGCAACAAGATCCCCTTCATTGCTAACCTCTCCCCCAGTGGCAAGTACTATATGGCCGATCTGTATGAGATTGGAGGTGTCCCATCTGTCCAGAAGCTGCTGATCGCAGCCGGTCTGCTCGATGGAGATATCCCCACAGTGACGGGCAAGACGCTAGCCGAGAATGTTGCCTCGTTCCCCTCCTTGTCCGAGGGCCAAGATCTGATTCGCCCATTGGACAACCCAATCAAGGCGAGCGGCCACTTGCAGATCTTACGTGGTAACCTTGCACCAGGCGGTTCTGTTGCCAAGATTACCGGCAAGGAAGGGCTCCGCTTTGTTGGCAAAGCCCGTGTCTTCGATAAGGAACACCGCCTCAACGACGCTCTGAACGAAGGCCGCATCCCGCGCGGTGAAAACCTTGTGATCATCGTGCGCTATGAGGGCCCCAAGGGCGGGCCCGGAATGCCGGAACAGCTGAAGGCCAGTGCCGCGCTGATGGGAGCCAAGTTGGCCAACGTGGCCCTTATTACTGACGGACGGTATTCAGGTGCCAGCCACGGTTTCATTGTCGGCCACATTGTGCCCGAAGCCGCCGTGGGTGGTCCCATTGCACTCGTCCGCGATGGGGATGTCGTCACCATCGACGCTGAGACCAACTCACTCTCAATGGATGTCTCGGATGAGGAGCTTCTGGAGAGACGGCGTCAGTGGACCCCTCCTTCGCCGCAAATCACTCGAGGTGTGTTGGCTAAGTATGCACGACTGGTCAGCGATGCATCACAGGGAGCCATGACGGATCTGTTTTAATGAATCATTATGATATGCTCCTTGAGTGTCAGTGTATATCGCATGTTTCGAGACAGTTGAAAATTTGTTACAATCTACCACGTTCCACCGTGTTTTGGAAAAGGAACAACATTTGATTTTGATATGATCTTCGTGGCCCCGCTTGAAATTGGCCAGTGGCAAGTGAGAAGCCACCCATGCTGGCCCCGGGGGTACATTCCTAGTATGAAATGGAGCCCCCATATTGACAAGGATACCATAGTGTGCATAATGCATCGCAGAAAGCAATAAGAGCAAGGGATATAAACAGATCAAAAGAAGACTAGGGTGTGAGAAACCTTGAAAGATAGGCCTAAATAGGATAGAAAGGATACCAGATTTTCAGAAAATACTTCTCCTCCCATAGTAAATGCCATAATTAAGCAAGTTCCTTCCCAAACTTGTGAAAAGAATGAGAGTAGCCAATGGATGACGATGACTCACCCCCACGCCGCTCCTTCCGAGGCTGTGAGTGGCCGAAGCGGAACTCTCTGTAATTTTTTGTAATTTTTCTTATCCTCACAACTTTTTTCAACGTTGTCGATCTAGCTTTCCTTATTGGTCCTCAAGGCTGTTTGACCGACATCCAAAGAGCATCGGGAGCGCCATCGCGTGGCTTTTGGCGAAATCACCATCGGGGGGCTCTGAAAGCGCGCAGGACGCCCCTCCGGTACTTAATCATGGGGTCCGACGCTATCTCCGCCCTCTATGACTCTCTGAGGTCTCAATCCAAGCCATCAAGTGTCGCGCCTGTCCTGCGATTCTTTCACTCGGTGTGCGCGGCCGCCCAAAACCATTCTTTTTCCTCCGTCGCCAGCTCTTTCCGCGGCCTCTGCCGCAATGACAATGTAAATTGGGGTCAGGTTGTGTTTTTAACCACCTGTGTAATCGCCATGACTGGATGTGGATTTTTGTCGTCGCTAGTAAGACCCAGGCGGCTAGGGTCGAAGACCTCTCGTGGGCAACGCTCCGCCGCTCGCAAGAGCTCGACCAAATCTTCGAAGACTCTGAGCTCCTCGGAGGAGGACGATTATGAAGATGAAGACTACGATAGCAACGCCTCATTGCGACATGGAACCAATCCCAATTACAAAGCGAAAGATTGGCCATCGGACACTCAGCAGCAAAGCTCTGATGGTGGGTGAATGGCTCATCTTTGACGTGGGGCTTCCATTAACACTTGCGCAGCATTTGAAACCGACCCGGGCATTCTCAGGAAATTTACCACATTCAACTCTTACACTACATCGGTAGCTACCTATCCCGCTATTCGCACCTTCTACAGCCCACATCCACACCTAGCTCGACTCCCGACCAAACCAACTCCTGTCCCACTGATCGTGGTTGTTCATGGGCTAGGCGGGTCGCTTGCACAATTCCACCACCTCTTGACCAGTCTTTCCAATATCGCTTCATGCTTCGGTATTGATTTGCCCGGGTGTGGACTATCCAAGTTTGCGCCTACGGATTGGAATGCTTACACTGTGGAAGCTCTGTCCGAACTATTGGCCGAAGCTATTGATCAACACCGGGACCGGGCATCTGGCCAGGAAATCATTCTAGTGGGACACAGTCTCGGATGTTCCTTGTCTGCCCTCTTGGCATCATCGACATCGTCTATTGGTGCAAAGGTGAAAGAGCACATAATCGGCCTTGTTGCTGTGTGCCCTCGAGCCGAGCCTCCATCAGCAGAAGACGCTACCAAGTTTCGCCGCGCGCTCTATATTCCTGATCCCATTTTCGATCTTTGGCGTCGCTGGGATAGACGTGGAGGCGAACAGAGTGCTAGTGTTATGCGGATGGTCGGCGTCGCTGCCGACGTGGAAACACGACATCTCCAGGTGCGCTTCAACAAGCAAAGTCGGACGCCTGTTTGGCGACGCATGGCGTGGGGCACACTTCCGATCTACGAAAATGGCGGCCATCCGATTGGTGGACTTCCCGGCCAACAGGTCTGGGCAGGAATCCGCGTGCCAGTTCTGTTGGTCGCGGGAGAGACGGATTCTGTGACTAAACCGGCGGAGGTGCAGATGCTTCTGAAATTCTTTGGTGATGCTTCAGCCCATACCACGATTGACACCAAAGATAGCAGCATCATCCCAGACGCTTCGCGAGTCCATGACCAAATGTCAACTCCAGTCGGCAACCTCGTCAATGAGAATGTGTTTGGTGTGCAGGTCTCCGAGAAGTATCTGGAGATTGGCCAGCGGAAGCGAGTGGTCAAATCGGCAATTTTGCCGGCCGCATCTCATGCACTGCTCTACGACCGAGCAACCTATCGCACCCTTGCGGGGATTATCCAGGATTTCCTCTCGTCAAATGTTGACAAGCGTCTCGGTCTGGGCTGGCAATTGCAGCACATGAATACATCTGGAAAGTGGGATGTCAAGAACCTCGCCAAATGGAAAAAAGTTGCCCCGGTCTCGGAACGAATTGCCAACACATTTGCCGCGCTCAAGATGTTGCGCGAGGTTGACGAGGAACACAACCCTGCGACTTTCTCCGCGAAGTACCGTGATCGCATCTACGCCGTGATAGACATCAGTCATGAAAGCCCAGTCTACAACCCGACCGAATTGGAGAAGGGTGGGATTTGCTACTATAAGCACCCGACTATATCCAAGATTCCTCCGACTCCAGACGAGACACGCGACTTCATCGCCTTGGTCAATAGCATTCAAAAAGACATTGATAAGAAGATGGAGCAGCGTACGGAAGAAGAGAAGCTTTTGCCACGTCCAGTGGTCGGCGTTCATTGCCACTATGGCTACAACCGCACCGGGTTTATGATCGCTTGCTATTTGATCGAGCATCTTGGTTTTGGTGTGCAAGATGCCATTGACGAGTTCAACCGGTGCCGACCTCCCGGCATCCGCCATGGTCATTTTATTGACACTCTATTTGTAAGGTATTGCGTTGGACTGAAGAGAGCACCCACGCTGTAATTGGGAATGATTCTGGCGTTTTGAAACTGGGACGAAGCTATGGCATTAGGAAACGGGAAACATTTTAACTGTTTCAAGTTACGAATAATGACAACTGCCATGAGATAGATTTTAATTGGTGTATAATTAGAACAAGGGAAAAAAAATTATGCTCTTCACATGATCTTTCATCCGGATGTCAAATAATCATTGCCTGGAACATCAGGCACCGAGAGGTGTGGTTTTGAGCCTGAACCATCAGGCATGAAATTGGCCCCATCACATGACCCAGCTTAGGGTACGGCTAACCCAAAATGGACAAGCGAACGGCACACAGACCCAACCCGCCCAGAGTTGTGTGTGTCTTGAAATTTTGAGCGACTCTTCGACTTCGACCCTGCCCACCTCGACGCCCAACGCCTCTCTCTCTCTAATCCCTACCCTTCGACCCCTCGACAAGTCGCCAAAATGGGTGGTGTTACCGTTCGCGATGTGGACGTAAGTGTCCTGCTCGAAATTTAGGTGATCGGTCAGCTCTGGTTTGCGTGATGTGGACGGTTCGTTTCTGGATGCACGAATACCACACCACCGGTCGGATCATATCGCCAAGATGGAAACGCTTCGGATTATGCACGCAATAGGTGAATGGCTTCATTACCTATGGGAAACATGTCGAATATTGAAGGATGTGCACGCACATTTTGAGGGGCGAATCTTGGGTAGATCTGTTTATACGTCGGTATTCTCTCTAGAATACTTGACACAACGACTGCATGCTAGCGCGAAACTCCACACGACGAATGATGAAATGCCTCCAGAGACGAATCCGATGCATCTGCAAATCCACAGTCTTTTGACCGATCCACGCATACCTTGATGAGCCACAACTAACAAATCCTTTTTTTTTCCGTACACAGGCGCAGAAGTTCATCTCTGCCTACTCTGCTTTCCTGAAGCGTCAGGGAAAGCTCCCCATCCCCGGATGGGTTGACACTGTCAAGACCTCTGCTTCCAACGAGCTTCCTCCCCAGGATGCTGACTGGTACGACCGCATCAACTATCAAACCACCAAACTTCGAACAAACAATTGACATTCTTACTATATAAGGTTCTACGTCCGCGCCGCCGCCTGTGCCCGTCACATCTACATGCGCAAGACCGTCGGTGTCGGTCGTCTTCGCAAGGCCCACGGCTCCACCAAGAACCGTGGCTCCCGCCCCGCCCACCACGTCGATGCCTCCGGCTCCGTCGACCGCAAGGCCCTCCAGGCTCTTGAGAAGATCGGTGTCCTCGAGACCGATGAGGAGAAGGGTGGTCGCCGCATCACTCAGAGCGGTCAGCGTGATTTGGACCGTATTGCCAAGACCACCGTCGACGAGGAGGAGGAGTCTGATGAGGAATAAACGTATCGCAACGATGGGCTTTTAATAGTTCGGGGATAAGTCGTTTGTTTTTGTGGTTTTGTCTTCGCTACGGCGGCAGGATTTTGGAAATGACGGCACAAAAATAAAAATTCGGAGCTTGCGGTCCCGTGCGCGACTTTACGTTTGTTTCTTTTTTTTCTTGTTCCACTCCATATTTTTTTTCTGACGACCAGACGGGGCTACTAGCGGAGAGAGATATGGGCGGTGCAGAGTGCATGAGGATGAGGCATCATTATCCGGAGACTTGAAAGAGAGAAGAGAGCGGACGCGACTTTCTACACAATCCTTCCCCTCTCTCTCTTGTCGAGGGGAGGGGATCTTTTTTCCCTGACATGTTTTTAATGATCTTCCTCGCCTCTTTGACCCCGATCAACCCTACGGCGTCTTTGTCCCTTTTTTCTCTCGTGGTCTCCTGGAAATAAAGAGCATGTCTAAACACTTTAAAACTGCGTCCTCTCTCTGTCGTAGATTGTAGACTTGCCGTCTAGCCGCCAGCAGAGTCCTCGGCTCACGCATGACATAGATCGACATTCTTCAAAAAGCCAAGGTAAATTCAATCGTCGTCGTTGAATTTGTGCAATTTTCTTTTTTTTTAAAAAAAAAATCAATGTATGTACAAGACAAAGTCTTTAATCAGCTCGCATTCCAAGATCATTCACTTTTTTCCCGATTGAGCCGCGGTATCCTACAAGACAAATCAATCAGCACAAACGCCATACAGCGAGCAGCACAAGGATGTACTCACCAAATAAACCTGATAAAATTGCATCTTGATGTTCTCATCCTCTTTCTGGGGCGCGAACACAACCCGTCCAGCCCATGGCACATAAACCTCATTATCGGGGTTAGCCTTGAGTCTATAGTTCACGCCACCGTACAACATGATCTCATTGTCGCCGCCGAAGTAGATCTGTGTCGGCGTGTGTCGGCGCGAAGCAACGTGCGTCCAGAGACCTTGGCGGAGGGGAAGAATTTCTGTGGAGTTGGTTTTGTTAGCTGTAGTACACCCCAATTCAGATGTATCTCCTGCATCGCAAGTGGAATTGGGATCGGGATCGGGATTGGGTATATGTAGCCTTCGCCGATGTGGAGGGCGGGAATCGGATAACACCATACCGCTTGCGCCCTTGGCCTCCTTGGGTCCCATGATGAGTGTCGCATCTTCTGTAAAACTCTGGACGTATTTCTCGTGCAGAGACTCGGTGTCGCTGGTGCGGTAGAAGTCTTCCATGAATGCGACGAGCGCGGCCCCGCGGGGTGGTGCGCGGGTAGTGTCGTAGGCGATTTGGTAAGACATTTTAATGTTGCAAGCCAGGTAAAGATGTTTGGAAGTTGAAAAGAATTCCGAGAAGATTGCGATTTCTCGCAGGAGTTGTCCATTTCATCACGAGAAATATCGGAAGGGACGCATCCGATCTTATCGAGGACTATGGAGAGCGAGGTTTTTCTTTCTACCTTTCAATATGGACCAATGGACATGGTCTCAGACTTACATTATGACTAGATACTAATACATATGAGGGCCTACTGGATCTGTAAAAGTCCATGGTGTCTCTAACTAGTATTCGATATCGTACTACTTCGGAATAGCATCGGAAGTGGACATACCCACAAATATCAGTCCTACCGGTCGCCCATTTGGAGATTTATACTTCGATAATTTTGTCCGTTAAACTGATTCTCCTGCCAAAGAATGTCACAGTACAAGAGCTTCATTCGATGGAGGGGTTTTAGCCAAGAAGAGAGACCGGGAAGAGAGAGAACACTGCTAGAAAGAGAGAAAAAGGACGCATATAGGGTTTCTCAACCTGCACCTCCCTCGACAAACGCACGCAGATTCTTTCTTCTAGCAGATCACACATTGCGTGGAATAGGTCTCTCGTCGGGACAGTGTTCCCCTACCATTACCCGTGCGATAGCGCCCTCTCGATCATCGCGTGCCTCCCGCCGTCGCCACTCCACCCACATCCTCAACCGCTTCATCGAGCTTGTTGGCATATTCACTGGTTGTATCATAGTTCTTGTTAGAGTTGTTCCCGTTGGCTTCATTATCTCTGCTGACCTCTTGAGTTTCGATGTCAATGTCAATGATCTTATCATGTCTGCAGGGAAGAACCGCAGTGGCTCTAGTGCGAAAAAAAAAAATAATAAAAAAAAACTAGATGGCGTGGAGCAACCCACATGAACCCATCTTGTATGCGTAAAATCAAGGAGAGAGGAAATTGGTCGAAGGCATAGAGAGGCCGTGGAGGGTGTCTTTGGAGTTGGCATTTTCATTGACGCCTTCCTGCTCACGGATGTATTGAGCGTAGAAAACGCAGAAGAAGTCCAGATCAAATGGGTTGATTGTTTACGGACCTTCGTGGTTTTACTGCAGCAAATTGATATTCCAGATACCATAAATGTCTAACGTAGAGAGCTTTCTAGATGATCAAGAGACACGCATGTTGTCAAAAGCTCGATCATGCCGCATCAGAAGAAGAGCTAGGGTCACAGAGTCCTGTGTCTGTAGTCAAAAACATTAATGCATTTTGTCTAATCCTAAGAGTCGAAGTAGCCTAAAGACAATTTCAATACACGACATTGTTCCAATTCATCCAAATCTTGCATCACAGACGGCCACTGAAGCAGTCGAAGCTGGCCTCCTTTACTAAACGGCTCCCACAGCCCGGTTGCCTCAAGTTCCCGAGTAGTGTTTTTATATCCTCTTGCCTTCAAAAACGCCAAGTCGGGAGTAGGTCTAGCCACCCTCGTGAAACTTGCCCAAGAATCCAGCACGTACTGCCCAAAGGGTAGATCGTACTCATCCCGAAACGGCAACCCCTGACGATGGAAACTTCCAAAAACGTAGAACAGCTCACCAGAATGGCATTTGAAATACTCCTGGCTGGGGTCGCCATTGGGGAACTCGTCTGTGAGGGGAGCATTGCACACCGGAGCATTCGGTGACCAGTTGGGCATTTGGTATGAACGGTTGAACTCGTAGTAGTAGACATCGGAAAAGAAATGTGTCCTTGAGGCTGTATGTGCAGTGGCTTCGTCGATGCAGCGGAACATTCCATCTGTGGCTATGCGAGAGGAAATATTGAAGATATCGAGTGTAGTGTTTGCGGTTGATGGTACTGGAAAGAGTTGGCTTGATGCAACTGAGTCAGGCAGGCCGGATTGATTGAGGAAGGACTCCAGCGTTTCTTCTCCTGTTGGATACCCAATCATGGCAGCACCATCATCTCTCATAGTACCTATCATCAAAGGCACATTGGCAGTCGATGCTGGGTTTGTTAAATCCAGCTCCGAGGTTCGGAGATAGACGCCATCAACAACCAGGTACCGCGCCGAGTCGGCGAGATTCGTAATCGTTGATCCGGGTAGTTGTCTCAAACATTCGACCGGTGAAGCCGCAGATGTGCAGTTTGTCTCGTTGAGAATAGCATTCCCTACAACGTTCATTTCCTGTGCGATGGTAAAGTACTTCGAGTAGGTTTTGCCATACGCCAAGCCACCCAGATTGCTCTGCATAATTGCACCAGCAAATTTACCTCGTGCTGCAGGAGAAGCAAGTAGTGCCCGTACTGAGGCTGCACCGGCCGATTGTCCGAAGATGGTTACCCTGTCCGGATCGCCGCCGAAGTCTTGAATGTTTTGACGAACCCATTCCAACGCCGTCATCTGGTCTGCCAATCCGTAGTTCCCGTTGGTTTTGCCATCATCCAATGCGAGGAATCCCAATGTTCCTAGACGGTAATTTATTGTGACGACCACAACGTCACCTCTCGAGGCTAGATTGCCGCCATCGAACGTCGGGTCACTGCCAGTGCCGCTGGTGAAAGCTCCGCCGTGAATCCAAAGCATTACAGGCTTGAGTTGGCTCTTTGAGGCTTGGTCGTTCTTGGGAAGATAGGGAGTCCAAACGTTAAGAAACAAGCAGTCCTCGGAACCAGTCGTGCCTTGTGTGCACTCAGAGCCATAGTTGAGGGCAGAAACTTTTTTGTCAGTCCCTTTATATACTTCTGAATATTCCCATCGTCGGGGTTGTTTAGCATAGCGAATTCCCAGAAAGCGGAAACTGAACCGATCGCGGAATCTGTCTTTTGTTAAGATATCTTGCGAGGTTCTGGGAAATGCTAGCTCCTACCCAGTGAGATCTTCATCGTTGGAATGGACAGTCACCTGCCACTGCGCACTTGTATCCTGAAAGGTGTGGTTGGAGAATGGAGCGCTCTGTGTACAGAAGACGGGCAGCTTTTCGTTCGCAGAGGCTTGATTGACCCGACCAGTTGTGTCGATAGTCGATAGTTTGCGGTGGTCCGAGGCAGTCCAAAATCGTTGGTTGCGAGCATACTTGTCTTGGAATACAAGATAATCCAAGTCCCTTTGGGTCGTCTGGTAATTAGAGTCAGTCCCCCAGAGAGTCTCTCCAAGCTTTTGGCAGCTTTCAGTGGCTTCTTGCCAGGGTCTCGCATCCAGCACCAGAATTCCTGAACCCGACAAAGGACTTTCGGTTTCTACCACAGTCAGTCTTTTCCAGATCCTCATTTCGGGGGATATGCGACATACGTACCTAGCAGGTCATTGTGGATGAGAATGGAGATATCAGAGTCCAATGACCTGGGACTCACTGCGTTTGCGGTGATTGGCACACAGAGACAGAGAAATACAACACACTTGACCATTATGGATCTGTAACGAACTCGGGAAAGCTCCCTTGGACTACCAGAAAACACCCTTATACTTCTCTTTATCGATGAATCTGGATAATGGTCCCACATCGAACTGTTTAGGCTCTCCAACCCCCTGCGTCGGAGAAATGGCCTTGATTGAATGGATGAAGATCCCCCTATTTATCCACTAACCGTGGTTTAATAGAATCTCAAGCTTGTTTTACCTAAAACCAGAAAATGTGTAGAGTAGGGAAGACATCTGGAATCCCCCGCAGTGATTTCCCCTCACATGATCTTGGAATATCTCATCGAGACCCGTAGACAGCGCCCACGTTCTTCGATGCTTTTATACCACAGTCATGGCCGAATCAACGCAACCAGGCAGTCTACCGCCTCCTCCACCCTCTCCCCCACAGAATCCTCGCTCCAAAACATCACCCACAGTCTTAAAGATACGCAGCACATCTCCCCACTTTTTTTTTTGAATCCCAAGTCCGCCGATCTCCAAACCAAGGCCCTACTCCAACAGGACCCATATTTCTTCTACGGCTCCCTTCAAGATCAACGTCTACTCATAGATCTGTTAGACCTAAAAGAGGCACCCCACCTGCGACCTGCATACATTGAGGGCTACCAATGTAAGCTTTGGGGACACTACCCAGCGTTGCTCTTTGGTGGCCTGGGTGATACTGTCACGGGGACTGTGTATGAAGTACCAACAGTCGAGGACGCCGAGAAACTAGTGGCTTATGAGGGCCCTAGCTATACAACTACTGCCTGCTTAATTCGGTATGCGGATTGCCATGCACCAATACAGGCGGAAGGGTACGCGTTCCTCTTCGTGGGGAATATGCGTGATCTGAGTGAGGGGTCTTTTGATTTCAAGCGTTGGTTGGAAAGGAGGGCATTGGGCAGAAATGATTGAGGGATATGCGGGATGGGCTCATGCTTCGGAGTCCGAGACGGGAAGTTATAGAATGCACGATATACAACATGCGTTTTCAGGGCAGAGTCCACAAGATAGCCCTTTGCCTTCACTTATCTTGAGTCTGACTCAGATGGGTGACTAAAATAGTATCTGCCCGTAAGCAACAATCTCAAGGGAAGCATGACCCAAATGTAGTATCTGCAGAATCAATATTCCTTTCGAACATCGCGGGGTAAATCACGGTAGGCGACCAGGAATCGATCAAGGCACGGATAACTCGGAGATCAATAGGAGGGCAAGGAAAATCCTCGGTGCCGCATCGGTGAAGGGTGTAAAATTAAATAGAATGGTAGGATGGTATAGAAGGTGACATGCAGGACTCGCTCATTGCAAACTACAATGGGAGGAGGAAGGGGAATCGATGACCGAATTGGGCAAGCCCACAATTTCCCACACACAGATCTTAAGGAAGCCCACAAGTCATCAAGGGCCCAGGTGTACAAGTGGCTTGTATGTTGTACATGTTGTACATGGACTTCGCACTAGGTGCATGCCTCGGATGTATTCTACGGGGCAACGGGCTACTAAGGCAGGTGTCAAATATGCAATTACATTCCAAGATTAAGGCGAATGTGGATAATCGGGATTGTAAGGACGAGTTTCCAAGTTGTAACTGGTTGAATTAGGTATACTCGTATACCATAGACTCCCTTGAGATCGATCTAGCAGAAAATACGAAAGATAGGAGTCTAAACCGCCCACGAAATGTCCCCGATACAAGTGACGTCAAGGGGCCAGAGCCCAGTGGTGGGACTCCGAAGGGGGATGTACGGAGTACTCCGTACATCCTGTACATCCTTACCACTTGACTACACACAGAGATATCTACCCTATGGACAATTCTCAATCAGAACGTCACAGGTTCGAAGAATGACATCTACAAAGTGTCCATGGAAAAGTTGGAAGTGCTTGGTCCACGTGCCCTGAACGATGGCTATCAGCCGATGATAGGGGAAGGTAGGGTTACGCCCTGAAGCGCTGCAAGCGTTCAATAAAGACGCACGAGCATTGAGGATCACCATGACTGGTCGATAACAACTTGGCATGAGGGGTTTATTTCGCTGGATATCTGTACCGTGGGGGGTTACAGAGAACTGGACTTTGATCGACTCAGGGATGAAGATCAGTGTGAACAAAGAAGATGAGGTGTAGAAGGTAGAGAATTAACACGGTTCCCCAAAAAAAAAAAAAATTACAAGATAATAGAGAGAATCATGAGAATCGAGAGCATCCAAGGTAATTATGTCGTAGTTTACTAGAAAAATAGTTAAAATAATATAGTAATAGTGAAGAGCCGGAAGCACCCGGTGTCCCACGAGGCGCCAATCCACCCATGCGCTTCCTTAATATACTTGGGCCTTCCTGGTGAGTACAAAGATGCAAGTCATTTCCAGGGCGGCATACTTGTCTTTTCCCTCAACATCCCATTCTCGTGGACACTCTCCGACCTCTTCCCCTTGGAATCTGCTCTTATCGCGACAATCTGCCCCCCCCCTTGCCGCATCGCATCCCCTACGTGGAAGCCCTAAACATAAGTTGGCCCTAACTTCGCTGCACGGCTACAGTGTCTCTTGGTCACTGTGTGGGAAAGGTAAGTTCCTTTGTTTTACCTCCTTGACTCTTTCCCTCTGTAACTATTCTGTTGTCACCCGATCCTTCCGTGGTACTTGCTTTGTCGCGCTTTAAGACGGTCTTCTGACTCATTTACCCTGGTTTGCGCATTCTAGGTTCTCCTTTCGCAAATCCATCTTCCTATCTATCATGGCTTTCCAGTCAAACTCCAGCATTGCTATGGCTCTTGCTGGCAAGACCGCTTCGGTTGACATACCTCAGCGCCGCTCTGGCCTGAGTAGCGGCCGTGTGCCTGCGATGCTACCCACGCCACCTAACTCTATCTCCCCAACCCTCCCTCCTCAGACCTTCAAGCACCGAGCGACGCCGTCGTCAGGATCACCGCTGTCGACAGTCCCCAAGTTGGACTCTGATATCGATCTCGAGGATGCGGAACACGACAACGGCCACGTGTCCCTGCCTGCCGATGACCTCGACAGTACCGGGGCGATCACCCCTGCCATGCTCTCCAAACATCATCTCCCTGAGATCTTGCTCGAGCAGGGGCCCTTGGCCATCCGTCACGTTATGGGTCACCTGACAGCTTCCGTCCCTGGCTTTTCGCACCTTCCTCCAGCCAAGGCGCGCAGACTGGTTGTTGCGGCACTGGAAGGACGAGGAAACGGAGGAGAGGCTGGTGGTAGTCAGGGTGACGTGGTGTTCGAGAAGATTGGTTGGGGCCGCTGGGACGCGCGACGTCGTGGTGAACCTGCTCACGATCGTGATCTGAACGCTTCGTCGCCTCCCTCAAGTGTTGCGGGTTCCTTCCAGCACCGTGGCCTACAGATTCAGGGTCAGTCGGGCTGGCAGGATGGCAACCATCATCCATACCGCATGAGCTTTGCCGAATCCACGGCATTCTCATACACCGACGATTACGGTATGCACGGCGACCTTGACATGCTGGAACATGAGGCCGATAAAATGTCTCTCGATGGTGACGATGGCGAGTATTGCTCTTCCTCGGAGGCTCCCGACGAGATGCAAGAAAACGAGTGGGTGGAAGGCGATGACACCGATGAGGAGGATTGGGCACAAATTGGCGCCGACGCTTTGCGTGCCCGTTCAATGAACAACAATGGCAGTTTCATCAACAGCCATGTTGCTGCACGCGCAAAGCCTCAGCCGTCTGGGATTTTCCCGGCAACCTGTCCATCTGCGGCTAAGTTGCCACCCCGTCGTACCTTTGACATCCAGGAACGCGCCGCTGTGGAAGCGCTCCTCCGCATGGGCTCCATGTAAAGCCCCACCATCATCATGATCGGCGTTTAATCTTTCTACTCTTTGCGGGAGACACTTCCTTTTCTTTCAAGGCCGTCAAAGTTGGTCTGGACCACTTTTGGTGTGCCATGGTTTTTCGGCAATTCCAAAAAAAAAACTTCGAAGGCCAGGAAATTTCGCTTGCTTGCAGTGCAACTAGCTTGATGGGTGGGCGTTGGGTTGTCTCTTTGTGTTATTGGGTTTCCAAGATGGCGTTCAAGTCTTCAATTCTCTTATGCCTTACACGAAGCGACTTTTCACTCGATTCAGGGTAGCAGAACCGTCCCTGCTACCACTTATGACAACTCCATGTCCCCCGCTCTTTTTCTTTTTTTTACATGGGTTTGCTCACAGCTCTCTTGTCTGTTATCTACTCACTCTGGCGTTTATCTTTGCATTAGTCGAGTCAGCTACTGCTACAAGGCTCCTTGTGCTTTCGTTCTTCATACTTCGAACTTTTCTAATACTCTACTTTGTCTTCTTTTTTTTAATGGGCTTTCGATTTCAACAACCCCCAATGATGCTTGGAAGATCTCAGCCATCTGGAGTGAGGTTCTGGTCCTCTTTATTGATTGCACTGGCCCTTCCAACTTGTATGGAATCTCAGTCATCTTCACTGATCCAACTGAGAAGTCGTCTTCCTCCTCTCTGTCTTTTTTTTTGTCCGTGGTTCTTCTTGTGTGCTCTACGCATATTCTGTTGTACATTGCAGGTTCATCACCCTTGCATTGCCCTGGAGATTTCAGCTTCAGTTTTCGAGGCCGAATGCTTAAAACACTTTTCAGCCGGGAATGGGATGGAAATACATAGTCACAATTTAGAAACTGAACCTGTCGCAAACCCTGCGCGGTTCAATTGCCAAATGGGGTTTTTCACTTGTAACCGAAGTATCTATGATGTGTGACTCTACGATGATCTAAAGTATGCACGCTGTCCTGTGTTCATGGCTGGATTTTCGTTTCTTAATCCAAACATCAGAGCTTCCTCGGAAATTTTGACATGGTCGAAACTACTTCGTGCTCCAGAGCAACCCCTCATCGCAAGTCCAACCAAAGCGTTGGTATTGAAATATCGTTAAAAATTAAACTCCAAAGTACAAATCCCGGTCCATATCCCAGTTCGGTACTCCCCTCATACCCCAAAACCCTTACCTGAGACACAAATAAGGCCCAAACCAGTAAAGCCATGGTTAAACAATTCCAACCGAACCACCCAATGAACCCATCCCATACCTCGTGCACCTAGCCATGAACATCATTAAACTTCTTCCAAACCCCCTTCTCAACCTCCGCCAACTTATTCCCAGACCACCTCATCCACCCCTTTGCCGCACCCATAAACCCCTCCTCCTCTTCAGGGAAGATACTGTCCGCCCCACCACCACCACCAGACCCAGCCCCAGCACCGGCGCTGTAGTGTGACGGTAAAGTCTGCGTCTGCGGAGCATATGATCCTGCCTGCGTCGGATAAACGGACGAATAAGGCGAGGAGGTCGAGTTCGGTGACGTGGTCTGCGGGCCAAGGGCTGGTGCGCTGTAGGAGTAGGATTGCATGTAGCTTTGCTGAGTTTGCTGGGCTGTTGGTGGAGGCGGTTGGGAGATGGCCTCACCGGCTCTGGGGGGTGGGGGGATTGGAGAGGAGGATTGGGGTACTGCTCCTGCTCCTGTGTATGCTGTTGATGGTAATGGGAGGGCGCCCGGTTGGGGTGCGGGTGGAATCTGGGTCGTGGATATTGCTGTCTCGGGGAATGAGGTTGTTGGTGGTGATGCTTCAGGCACGGCTGTTGCTGTTGGAGTTGGTTGCACTGCTATGGCGCCTGGCTGGGGTGATGCTGGGTCTGAGCTGGGCTTAGTGATGGTATGGATTGGAGATTTGGGGGGAGCTGTGGATTTTGCTGTAGTTACTGTTGTTGTTGCGGGTGTTAATGCTGGTGGAGGTTGTGAGCGTGCGCTTGCTGGTGACTCGATTGCGGTGGCGGGTTCGGGCTGAAAGGTTGTAGCGTGCGTGCCTTCTTCTTCCATGTTGGGGTTCACGGGCGCTGATTTGTAGGTTTGAATACCTGTAGAAGCGGACATTTCGTTTGTTTGATGGGGTTGTTGAAAATGGGAGAATTAAGTGTCCAGGGGAGTGAAGAGGGTTTGTAGCTTCAAGGAGCCTAGACGTCATGGCGATTGCCGCTGTGGATCCTTGTCGCTTTGGGACTTCCTTTTTTTTTTTTTTTTCAGTTTTTCCTTTTTCGATGTTGCCTGTACACTCAGCCAAGTTTGTTTTTAAAGATGAAAATGATGCTAAGCATAAGGGATAAGATGACCTACCCTTTGCTTGCTTTGGTTTCACTGGGCGAACGTAGCTGACAAAAACATGCAGCCCAGAAAGGTTGAGATCGAAGAATCTGCCAAGGGAACATAGAACAGCAGTACCTCTTTGAAGATCTTGGTGCATGAATATTCAGTTATTTTACAGTGTTTACAAGGACTTGGTTCAAAAAAAAAGAAAGGGTTTGCAGGCAGTAAAGTACATTGGGTACATAAAGTGAAGAATCACATCATTCTATGCTTCAAGATCCTTCAGACCCATTTCTTGACGCATCTATCTTTTGACCATTCCACATCCTCAAATTCCACGCCCAGTGGTTACACTTGGGGAGGCATGCATCCCCTGTTCCAGTATAACTACAGTGGCAAGAGACTCACATTTCAGTGAATCGCTTAGAACTTCTTGCCGAGGAGGAGGAGCTGAGCCTTGTCGTAGATGGACAGGACACCAGCACCAGCAACACCACGGAGGATGTTAGCACCGGCACCCTTGAAGAGAGACTTGACACCCTCCTTGGCAACAATCTGGCGGGCAGCATCCAGGGAGCTGGAGTACTTGACGGCCTCACCAGAGGTCATCATCATGCGACGGCGAACGGTGTCAAGAGGGTAAGAGGCAACACCGGCACCGGTGGTGACGGTCCAGCCGAGCAGGAAGGAGGCGAGGAAAGAGCCCTCAAGAGGACCAACGAGGAGGACGGGCTTGATGGAATCGTACATTCCGAAGTAGAGACCACGGTAGACGACAATTCCGAGAACGGAGGGACCGAAGCCACGGTAGAGACCGGCAATACCGTCGGAGGCGAGGGTCTTGCGGTAAACATCGACGAGACCGTTGAACTGGCGCTCACCGGAGCCCTTGGAGGACTTGGCATCGTTGGCCAGACGGGTACGGGCGTAGTCCAGGGAGTAGACGAACAGGAGGGAAGTGGCACCGGCGGCCTAGGCGTTTTGTTAGCTGTGGGCCAGACTTGGGAGTATATCAAGAGATACGTACACCACCGGAGGCAAGGTTACCCATCATCCACTTGGCGTATCCATCACGGTCCTTCTTGTAGGCGAACATGGACTTGTAGGTGTCGCGGAAAGCGAAGTTCAGGGCCTGAGTGGGGAAGTAACGGATGACGTTGGCGGTGTTACCACGCCACAAGGAGACAACACCCTCAGCGGCGGCGGTACGGCGGAAGCAGTCAGCAATACCGTTGTACTTGCGGTCGAGGCGACCCTGCTTGAGCATCTCATCCTAATAATCGAACCTGGTTAGATGCTGAAATAGTGGAAAGCTAGAGCTGCCGATTGTCATAGGCCAAGGGAGAAAAATTTTCATGCGTTGTGATCGATGCAGAAACATGACTTCTGTTCAACGTAGGAACTCAAACTCAATTGCAAATCACAGCAAATCATGAACTTCTGCCTTTGGACCATTTCAACAAGTGCTTGACAGGGAGTGACCGACCTGGTTCTGGATCAGGAGCTTGATACGCTCAATGGGGGCAGCAGCGGTCTTAGAGACAGCGGCGGAGACACCACCCACTAGGGTGACAGTTAGCATGTTTGTTCATATATTGCTGGTTGAAATTACTAGAAATTGCAAGCATCAAGCAAGGCACGTACTCAGGAAGTCGACAACGAAGCTCTGTCAAAAATGTATTAGCAATGCTGCTCAGTTCAATTCACGTTTTCTTAGTGAAGAGCGATCTTTGAAATTCGCTTGGAGGCAAGCTCGATGGTCCATTGATGCTTCACATCCCATCGTCTTAAATCTTCACGCGACATCAAGGCCAGCTCTCACGAGCTCATGGGAAGACACTTACGGGCATGCCGAGGACCGACTTGTCGGCCTGCTTAACATCACCGGAACCCATTTTGAAGATAGTGCAAAAGAAACGGGATGCAAAAAAAAAGAGAGGAGATGGAAAGAGTGTCAAGAAGAAAGAGACACCAGGGACAATGAGGAAGAAAAAGGAAGAGAGAAGGCGGGAAGGGGGGCCAGAAAAAAAATACTCGACCGCCGGGCGCTAAGACCCAATCAGGAAGCCCAGGGGGTTAAATTACTGTATCTTACAGTTATCATGCTGTATTGGTTTGCCTCCTGCCGATATCTCCCGATCCACTGAAAATTCTGCAATCTGGCCAGCTGGTCTTGACATTGGGTCTGGATAGTACTTATGGTATGGGAGGGGGGAGATCTTTTTGAGACCGTTTAAAGGACCACTTTTAGCATTTTTTCTGTACGGCTTCCCTATAAGTTCACCTTTGTGTTCTTGGGGAATCAACCATATTCTATCTTTTCACTGTGATCATCGACATCCTGTAGTCCCGAAACGGTCCAAGCGCCGGTGCATAATACCGTAGGGGTACGGTGTATATTTCCCTGTCCAATGCCGGGCATCCACTCCCCGGGGCAACCTCCTTTTTGCTGGCCGGGTATCCGATGGCGAACCAAGCATGAATTTTATACATCGGACTTGCCACCGACGTCGCTAGTCCCTTTTACCTAGCCTTGCACAACATAGTCTGGGGTTCTTGAATGGGTTCGAACATGGCACTTTTAATAAAACATGTAGTTGACGGTTTGAACTTGATCACGAAGGACCCGATGTTCCCAGTTCCCAGTATTGTAAACGTAGAGGGAGTAAGCCTTTGCATCGGGCGAGTGGATTTTCCCCAGGTCTCCTCAACGCCCTGCACTAATCATCTTATTCCTCGGTATTTATTCTTACTGAGATTGTCTAGGGCGTTGCTGCATACACAATTCCAACTGAGCAAATCTGATCCCTCCTAAGTCTTGAGGTGAAATTTTGTAATCCGTACATTACTGCGATATGTGAGGGACACCCGGATGTGATATGAGACATTTTTTTCCCTTGCTACAGTTTTGGTGTCGCGGGTACAAACTTTAAGGTGATCGATCGCCGCATGAAGGATGTACCAAGGTACTTCACATGCTAGACAATGCCAGGTACCCAATAGCGCTTTGGCTCCACTTTCCTTGGTCAAGGAAATTATATGAAGTCCTCCATTCAAATCACTTCATGACCGAGATCATAGTAGCAATTCGGGGTATGTACGGATAGAAAGCTTCCTATACTCCATAGCTGAGAATCAAAAAATGTTCCGAGTTTTGCCCCAGCAACCGCTAGCGCATGAGTGGACCCCGTCGCATGGGAGCTTTCCGCTTTGGGGGCTGCGGAGGCCTACGCGCATGTATATGGATCTGAAGAACAGATCGTAAGGAAATCATTCTCGATCGAATTCAATGACCTGTAGGGACTGTAGTATGTCAACATATGTACCTTGTTAGCAACTAACCAGAGTTTCAATTTGTGTTATCTCTGTGCCGATTCACTGGAAATGGAGCAGAAATATGTCATCATCAATGTAATCATTCAATGCTCCCCAAAGCTGCCTCTATAATTATTCTCTCGGTTGTAGTCTGTGACACAATGATGATGTATAGTTCACATTTAAAAACGGGGTTTAAGTGTCGAATAGATCTTGCAATTCAGAATGGAAAGGATCTCAAATTCGTTGCATAATTGATTCGAAAAAAGCTACAAGAATGGTAGATTGACAGATGCAACACGATCAATGCTTCTTCGATCTCTTTCTCTTCTTCCGTGTGCCGTCTCCCTCTCTGATATCAACTTTACCCTCATCAACAGTCTCCTTGGGCTGACTGGGTTGGACATCGCCGCCGAACTTGAACACCGGCCCATTCTCGTCACCGAAAGTGTCCTTGCGCCACTCGCGAAGCCGGGCCTTCTTGCCCAGCTTCTTCTGATCGTGCCGCTTCTTCTCTTCTTCGCGGAAGGTGGCCAGCTTCTTCAGACCAGCGAACTTGTTGAGCTGTGTGTCGTCGGCCATGAGGATATCCTGTGCAGTCAAGCCAAAGCTCTGTGGCGAGGTTTCGCGATAGCGGAACCTTGTGGCGTTCTTCTTTGTAGCTCCAGGAAGCAAGGTGATGTCAAGATCCAGGTTGCGCTCGACCGCATCTTCAATGCGGAGACGGTCTTTGCGGGCCTCACGTTTCTGGATCCGCTTCTCTTCGGCCTTACTCTTCTTCTTAGATCCGAAAGCTTCGTCGTCATTTTCTTCTTCGTCTTCTGATGGTTCGAGCGTGGGCTTCGCTTCTTCGTCCTCATAGTCTGGGACCAAATCCTTGATATCGATATCGTCATCCCATGTAGGCTTCTTAGGACGCTTCTTTTTCTTTTCGCCTCCCTCATTTTCGCTGCCCTCGCCCTCCTCCTCGGCATAGTACTCCTCGCCGAACCGCTTTTGCATCTCTGATTCCCAGTTCGAGTCATCCCAGGAAGCGTCCAGGAAACGAGACCAGTCGTCGTCTGTGAAGTGTGAGGCTCGAAGTCCCGCAACCTCCTTGATTTGTTCCACCTTTTTCTGAAGTTGCTCAGTCTTCAGTTTGCGAAGACGGTTCTTCTCAGTTTCACGCTGCTTCTTCTCCTCATCTTTGAGTGCGCGCTCGGCATCACGAATCTTCTTACGAGAGCTCTTTTCTTCGCGACGGACGGATTGCTTGTTGGTGAGATCACGAGAGTGGGTGACTATCACCTCGTTCATCTTGTTGGGGTCTTCAAAGCGGAAGTTGTATGCTTCTTCGATAGCGTCTGCCCGGTCGACGTCGTCATCTGAATCTGAATCAAACGGATGTAGCTCTGGCTTGTCGGCGGGGATCCAGGCTCGTGCCGACAAGAAGTTGGACAAGAAAGTCTCGGGGTCTTTGTCCGCATTCTCGACAT